GTCGGCCCCCATGCGCTCGCTGGCCTCTGTGTGCAGGGGCCGATGGTGTCAGGCAGCAGCTGCCTTGGCCCCTGCCTCGCCTTGCCTTTGTGACAATGGCACCCCACCCTGCCTCGCCTTGCTTCACCTCACCCCACAGGACGAGCCTCCTGCCCACCGCCCCACCTGCCAGAGACACCCAGGATCTCCCCCAACCCTGCCCAGTCTCCATAGGCGTCCCTCCCCACGAGCAACATTGAGATGACCATGACCACCTTAGCCACACCCACCCAGTCTACCATGACCACATCCACGCCTATCCAGTGGGCCACACCCACCTGGCATCTGGCGATAAATAAGTGGGTTTTGGGTTGCAGTTTGGGCACTTGGTCTCTAAAAGGTTCGCCATCACTGTCTTACTGCATCTACGGGTAGTCCTCGACTTACAATCTTTGTTTACTGACCATTCAAAGTTACAATGACACTGAAAAAAGTGGCTTACGAACATTTTTCACAGTTATGACTGTTGCAACACCCTCATGGTCACGTGATCAAAATTCGGACACTTGGCAACTGGTTCCTATTTATGACAGTTGCAGTGTCCTGGGGTCATGTGATCCCCTTTTGCGACCTTCTGACAAGCAAAGTCAATAGGGAAGCCAGATTCATTTTACAACTATGTTACTAACTTAACAACGGCAGTGATTCTCTTACCAGCTATGGCAAAAAAGGTTGTGAAATGTCACTTAAATGTCTCGCTTAGCAGCAGAAATTTTGGGCTCAATTATGGCTGTAAGTCAAAGACTACCTGTACTCATAAAGCCACTGAGTTTAATTTTAGATTTCCAATTATCAGCAGTTGAAGAAGGTGCTCTGAGGTCCATGCAAGATACACATAACCTCTGCAAATTAGGAAAGCGTTATTCACTTCTACCTCATACACCGTGTTTCCCTGAAAGTAAGACCTGATCTTACTTCCTTTTGGGCTCTGAAGTAAGCACTAGGATTTTCTTTTGGGGAGGGCTTACTTTTTGCCACTACTATGGTAGTAGGCCACGAGTTTGCAGGGGTGGGGCAGGGCCTATGCATGTGGTGGAGAAGCAACATGGCAAGAGCGTAGTGGCGGACCAGGTACGATATCGGGAAGGGCGGGGCGCATGCCCTTCCCATGCCAGGCCAGCCCCTGCAGCCCTAGGGCAGCTGTGCTGGGCAGCGGCGGGAAGGGCGCCAAGGTGGGGCCCACCAGGCTGGCCAAAGTGGCAGGTGGAGTGCCTGAGACTCAGGGAGGGAGGTTGGTGAAGCGGGCGGGCGGGCCACACTTCACCCAGGGCAAGCATAATGCATCCACACTCCACCCAGGGCAAGCACAATGCCTAACCCCAACTCTAACGGTCAAGGAAATCAAGTTTGACACCTTTGGTTTAATGGTGATTTAAATTAATGGCAGATTTTAAGGGGATACTGCAATACCGTACCATATTTTGCCCCCCCCAGACAAGATGAGTTCAAAAAGAATGAGCTATTTTGTTGAATTCAAGAAAGGGATCGTGGACGACTCTCAGGGCAAGAATCTTACAGCTTTCTCCAAAGAGAACAAGTTGGAGCAGGGGTTCTCAACCTTTTTAATGCCACGACCCCCAACCGGTCGTAAGTCGAGGACTACTCAACCAGTCGTAAGTCGAGGACTACTCAACCTGTGCAGCACCGTTTGCAGAATGGGACTTTTGGCAGGCTCAGCAGGGCAGAGACAGCCTGGACAATTCCTATTGGCTTTTGAAAGCCAATAGAATTAGACTCTATTCAAGAGAGTCTATTCTCTTGGCTTTCAAAAGCCAATAGAATAAAAGGGAGTAGCACAGCTAAGGAAAAGGGGGAAAAAATGGTGGACTGCATTGTTTGGCGACCCCCGTGAAATGGTTGTTCGACCCCAAATGGGGTCCCGACCCACAGATTTGAGAACCACTAAGTTGGATCTTCGTATGGTCCGTAAATGGTGAGCAGAGTACAATAAACACAGCCAACAGATGGACGAGGGAAATGCCAAGAAGCAAAAGTGTGGAGCAGGCAGGCAGCCATTATTTCTTGAACTTGAACACAACATCTGTGACTGGATTGCTGACAGGAGAGCAAAGGCTTTGGTTGTGCGCAAGGCTGACATTCAAGCATTTGCCATTGTACTGGCACCACAATTGGAAATAACCCCAGAATAATTCAAAGCATCACAACACTGGCTGGATGGCTTCCTTCAACAGTATGAACTTTCTCTAAGAAGATCAACAACACTGTTCAAGCTTCAGGATGCTGAACTTATTAAATGTACACTTTCATTCAAGTCCTTTGTTGATGGCATCGACTTTTCAAAGCACCAGCTGTCAAACATGATTGCCATGGATGAAACTGCAGTGTTTATGGGCCAAGCATCTCAAACAACAATTGATCAGAGGGGTGCCTCATCAATCTACATTCCCTCCACTGGTTACGAAAGTACACGTGTTACCTGCATTTTGGCAATTTGTCTCGATGGGTCAAAAGTCCCACCTCTAATCATTTCCAAGGGTAAGAGAGATAAAATTGAACGTGTTTCAGGCATTTATGTTCTTGAAACTGAAAAGCCTGGTGCACACAAGCAGTGATTAGGAAGTGGGTTGATTTAATGCTGCCACTTGCTTTGTGAGGTGGGCAAAGAGGCCTGCTAGTCTGGGATTCAGCCAGACTCACCGCACTAAAGACACGAAGAAGTTCCTTACAGAGAGAAGAATAGATCAAATAATGATTCCTGCAGGAATGACTGCCTATCTCCAGACTCTGGATATCACATCAACAAACCATTAAAGGACCACTTGCACAGGGAAATCGGTGACTACACTAAACACAGAATGGAGAGAAATAAGCGTGGGAACTTTGTGAAGTCTAGCCTGGCAGAGATCGTGACTTGGGTGAAGCATTCGTGAGACCAAATCACTGACAGTTGTGTTGCCAATGCACTATGAGCTGGCTACATGGACAAGAAGTGCTCATTTGGGGAGACTGCTATTGCTGGACATGAAAGATTGGGGCCAATGGTTCTACAGGAACTGGAGTCCCTAGAGGTGAAGGCCGGAAATTGGGGTTTGGTAGAAGTGTGAGTTGTGTGCTAATTGGTGAGTGTGATTTATGACAGCTCTTGTGGGGTGGGAATTGCAATTTGTTACTTTGTATCTGGGAGGAGAGAATCTCATTCTTGGGTTCAGCTATGTAAGTGCCAATACTTTGTTTTCTAAATAAAATGTTCTTTAAGGAAGAATTCTTACCTTGAAGTTCTTTTACTGGTTTCATCTTTCGGAACCATGACACTTTTATTTAAAACTTATTCTAAGAGATGACCAGGCAGAACCGAAAGGCGGGGTCAAGCAAGTCATCAGTTTGGAATCTTTACATAATCATAAGAGTTCTGAGCCCAGCCCCCCCATCCCATGAATTCTGTTGACTCTTATATAGCATCAATTTGCCTTGATAGTAGACCAGATTCTTGTGTATAAGTTGCATTTAATAAACATTTAGTACTTTGGACTCAACTACTGTTTACTTGCGCCTGACATATATTTCACTAAGGATTGAAGGAAATACATCTTATGCTGTGAAGAAAATGTATCAATTTTAAGGTTTCTAATAACTGAAAAGCAGTTAACGGAATATCCAGAAGTGATTAGAAAAGAAAATATGCAAATCCAGGATCCATAAAATGCCATATTTTGGGGTAAGATGGTTTTCCCTCATCTCTTAGAGCTCTAAATCCACCAGAGACTGCTAGTCTTCTTGTGAGGAGCGACTGTATGAAGCACTTGTGGGCAATCTCAAGTCCTCTCCTTGTCCAGAGGGGAATTGCAAAGAACCCAGTCCATTCATTTGCTCTTCATTTCACTGCAGTTGTCAGTTCTACTCTGTTTCTCTCAGCAAAGCCATCTTTGTTCTCCATTTGTTCCCCAAAAGTCCAATGGCTCTACTTTGTGAAATCTATCTGTAACGCAACATTTTGGATTGTGGTTTCTGTACAGCAATGTTTCTCAATTTTGCCAACTTTAAGATTCGTAGTCTACAATTCTCAGAATTCCCCCAATTAGTATTCTGGCTAGGGAATTCTGGGAATTAAAGTCCGTATATCTTAAAGTGGCTAAGGTTGAGAACACTGCTATACATGAAAGGAGAAAAAAAAATCAGTATATTGGCATTTTGTGTTCTGTGTATGTGGGCAGGGAGTATATGGACTGGATTTTTGCTTTCCAGCAAGTCATGTGAGAAAGAAAAATTATTGTTCCTTTGTTGCTTTAGAGACAGTTATTCACAAGTTGACCTACCATATGCAGTTGGAGATTGGTTATTGAATGTGATAAGAACAGTATATGATTAATGTGAAGGATGTATGAGAATAAATGGAATGCGAAGTGAAAATTTCAAAACTGAGCAAAGAGTAATACAAGGGGTATGGTGTTCCCAGGGTTGTGTAATGCATTTATGGGCAAAGCTACAAAAGAACTTGTGGGGAAGTTAAAGGTCTATCAAAATGGAACATTGTGTGCAGAAAATGTCATGGTTTAACTTGCAGTCAAGTCATATATATAACTATCTCTGCTGGGTGTAAAAGCAGTGAAGTCCAATCAAATAAGGTGAGGATCTCATTATGCCAAGGCCTTTGTTCAGCATCTAGGTTGCAGATTTTATAGCAAGTAATCCTCTTAGATTGTTCTTTGCTGGACGTGATAAATGCTTCTCTGTTCCAGTAGGCACTTCTCTTGCTGTGTGTGTAACCAGGCTATTCTTGCTGCATTGTGTTGTTCTGGACGGTCAGGTGCTTTGACCTCATCCTTACATGATTTCTTTACCATGATTTATGCATATTTAAGGTATAAACTGTAGCTTAGACACCACAGTGGCTGGTTTCTGCTACTCTACAACTGACCAAACTTCATTATGACTTTATTATCTCATTACAATACACCTTAACAAATATTATCCCCCCCCTTCTCTCTTTTTTCTTCTCACAGCCATATAATAAATGAATTGATAGAAACTGAACGTGCTTATGTTGAGGAACTTCAGAGCATAATCAAGGTACGTTCAGTGTCTTTCGAAACAGGAGCAATGAAGTTGAAATCAACAGCAGCAGAGAGATTTTTTGGCAGCTGCCTTCCTGTTCCTCAGAAGCTTCAGATAGATAGATAGATAGATAGATAGATAGATAGATAGATAGATAGATAGATAGATAGATAGATAGATAGATAGATAGATAGATAACCTTTATTGTCATTTTTTTAATGTGGGCACAATGATACACATTAAAAATGAAATTTAGTTGCTTGCTCTCAAAGTGTAGACATACATAACACACATTCCGTAGAACTGTCTTGATTTTATTGGTGAAAGTATGTGAACCTACATACGGTATTTGCTTTTTAAAAGCGGCACCTAATTGTTCATATGTTTATACTTTCATCTATCACATGATTCATTGCTTGGTGAGATTAACCTCCCAAACCACCCCAACATGGTTAGGACAAGCTCTGCTTCAGAATTGTAAAATAAACGTCTTAAGTAGATATATTTATTTATGGAATCAACGCTTCTGGTGGCCCAGGTTAAAAGGACTGAATTTTGGGAGTTGAAGCCCACCCGTCTAAAAATTGCTGACGTTAAGAAAGACTGACCTAGGCAATGTCTGGAATTCAAAGCCAGTAGGTTGATAGGGAATACATTATAAAAAATGAGAAAACCAGGCAAATTTGCTTATATTATGAAATGAGTACAGGTGGTGGAATTCATATCTTTGAGTTGCAAAATCTGGATTCCTTTGGTCCAGAATTTATCTACTTTGAGTTAAAACAGAAAGTCCAGGTTTAATATTTCTAAGCTATCTTAGAATGGAAAAGCTGACTGAAAGCGCAGGAAGATGGCATTTCTCTGCTTCTGATATTTTACTCGTTACTCAGTTTTGTTCTCTCAATGTTCTCTCTCTTTCTCTCTCTCTCTCTCTCTCTCTCTCTCTCTCTCTCTCTCTCTCTCTCTCTCTCTCTCTCTTTCTTTCTTTCTTTCTCTTAAATAGGGCTATGCCTCAGAAATGGACAACCCTGATTTAATTCACTTGATCCCAGCTGTAGTTTTGAACAAGAAAGAAGTTCTTTTTGGAAACCTCTCAGAAATCTATGAATTTCACAACAGGTTTGTGGTGGCACTCCAAAAGTAGATATAAAGCGTTTCTTTGAAGGAGATGTCATTTAGAGGCCATAAAACATCAGTCCTAAACCAACTACACTGACTGCAATCCATTGGCAGCAATAATTGGCTGCCTGCAATATTTTTAATATAAGGAAATAATATAGCTGAATATTTTAAATCTCACATGGGTTCTGCGTAACATCTACATATGGTCATTATGGCTTTCCAACTCTAGTTCTTAGGTTCCTTTCTGCAATCATATAGACACGAAGGGTCATCCGACAAAGCTTTTTGCATGGAAATAAATTTTGCCAGATGTATTTTGAGAGGTCCAGGCAACCCGTGTTTTCCTTTATAACTAAATCAAATATAAAATAATACATCATTTATAACCAGTGTGCACATACACGACTAACTTTCTGGGCCTGCCAATGCATGCTGGAGCGAGAATAACGCTAGCATTGCTGCCCTAGAGAACTTTACCTGTTGAAAAGAATATTTGTAGCTCAGGTGCACTGATGATGTTACCTAGTTTGGTAATAAAACATCTGCACGAAAACAACCAAGGACCCCACAGAACAGTGGTGGCGAACCTATGGCATGTGTGCCAGAGGTGGCACTCAGAGCCCTATCTGTGGGCACGCGCACCATGCCCTGGAGATGGCAAGCATCCCTCTTCAATCAGCCGCCCGCTAACTCGCCGAGGTGCCATGTGGCCGGATGCATCCTGGCACAGCTGGTTTCCCTCTCCTTCATCCCATCCCTCCTGGCCTTGCATGCTCTCCTTTTCCCTGGCACGACCCACTGCATCGCCTCCTCAGCTGTCGGCTATCTGTCCAACTCAGAGGTGGCTTCTCTGAACTGCTGATGGCAGGCTGCAGAGCCCCAGAGTGCGCTGGTCAAGGGGCCGGCAGGCTGTGGCTGCTGACGGACACTGTCAGCCCCCATGTGCTCACTGGCTTCTGTGTGCAGGGGCCGATGGTGTTGGACAGCAGCCGCCCCGGCCCCTACCTCACCTTGCCCTGTGACAATGGCACCCCTGCCCTGCCTTGCCTCGCCTTGCCTCACCCCGCAGGATGAGCCTCCTGCCCACCATCCCACCTGCCAGAGACCCCCTGGATCTCCTTCAACCCTGCCTGGCCCCCCACAGGCGTCCCTCCCCACGAGCAACATTGAGGTGATCATGCCTCCTTGGCCACGCACACCCAGTTTGACATGACCACCACAGCCATGCCCACCAAGTAGGCCACGCCCACCTGGCACCCGGCGATAAATAAGTGGGTTTTGGGTTGCAGTTTGGGCACTTGGTCTCTAAAAGGTTCGCCATCACTGCCATAGAACTTTATCTAAATGAGACAACAGCAACCTGCCATCTTCACAGCATCTCTGTCTTTCTCATCCACATGACTTTGCTTGGCTGGAAGCAGCTGGGTTTGCTAAATGAGGATTGCCTATATTCTCCGAAGTGATGCAAAAATTATTGAAATTATACTTCTCAGACCTTCGTTAATCTTTCTTGCTAGGGGACCTTGTAATTTAAATTCAGTTGAAGACCTCACCTGAAAAGCCTCTTTTAAACTTTTGCTTTCATTTTTATGTCCATTCCAGAATCTTCCTCAAAGAACTGGAAAACTGCATAGAAAAACCTGAGCTTCTGGGTCGGTGCTTTTTAAAAAGAGTAAGTGAATCACAGTGTTTCATTTAATCTGGCTTCTTGATGGTGTTCAGACCAATTTCCTTTTGCATCTAATGCTCTTTTCAGGCTGGGGTTTCAGTGAGCAATCAAATGGGAAGGCATGTGAAGTTAAGAAACTTTCTTGGGCAGTTAACAAATAACCGAAGAGAGAAAAAAGATCACCTTTCTTTCTTTCAGTTAGTTGGCAGGACGATGCTAGAGTTTTTCATTGTCCCACGTCTTTCAATTTTCATTTTTTATTCTCTCCCCCCGCCCCATGCTTTTTCTTACTGCACAACTTGAGAAACAAAAGCACATAGTCCTTGATTTACAACCGATTGCTTAATGAAAAAAGGGACTCACAACCCAGATTCAAACTTCTAATGTTTGGGCCATCTCCACAGTCATAGGTGTTTAACATTTGGCCTGCATTTACGGCCATTTGTTGTATCTTGCAATCATGTAACTGTGATTTATTATTATTATTATTTTATTTATTAAATTTATTCATCTCCCATCTCATATTTAAACGACTGTTTTTAAGACATTTTGACCAGAAACTGGCATTTACTTCCAGCTTGTAGCAAAAGAAGCGCCCCATAGTGCAGGAGACCCCAACCTCTGGATTGCAGCCTACTATGGGCCATGAGGTGTTTGCAACCGGGCCGTAGAAATGGCTCGTGCAGAACCATACCCTCCCCCATCCTTGCCGGTTGATAAAGCCAAAAAGGTTGGGGAACTCTGCCATAGTGAATAATAAGTTTGCTTAACAACTGAGGTATTTCTTTATGGCTGCCATATTTGCTTAAGTATCTCCACAAAAAAAGATTGTAAAATTGTGCACGGTTCTGCGATGATCCACTTTATGACAGTCATGACTTACAGCTGAAATTGAGGGCTCCATTATGGTCATAAGTGTAGGACCACCTGTACCAGAATAGGAAAAAGAGAAAACATTTTGAAATTAAAAAAATGTATAAGGAGAAATGTGATAACTGAATACATTCACTGTAAACAAATGAAAAAATAGTGCAAAATAATTTGTATGTAAGAAGATCCGGGCAGTTCAAATGGGTATAAAGATTTATTGCAAGGTTAAGCTTTCTACAAGAATCTGAACTACTAACGGCCAAAGTGAATTGGCGGTAGATAAGAGTCAAAGAAATTCAAGGTGGGCTGGAGTTAGATCTCTTGTGGGCGCAAAGAGATTCGAGACTGATGATGCATTTGACCCCTCCCTCGGGCTCAGCCTGTTCATCTCCTACAAGTACATTTTTTGCTTTCTTGAACTTAGAACATTCCACTGAGTTCAGCTGCTTCAATGCAGTACCAAGAGTTCCCCTTTGTAGAACTATCACAAATTGATCTGAGCTATCTGCTTAGAGTCTAGTAACCTATGAGAAAAGAAAAATCCATAAACATTCAACAGAAGAAAAAAACACTTAAATTAAGGGCATATGGGAATGTTTTAATGGATTGCAATCCACTAAGCAATTAAAGAGCCATGATGGCGCAGTGGTTTGAATGCAATATTGTAGGCTAACTCTGCCCACAGCCAGGGGTTTGATCCTGACCAGCTCATGCTTGACTCAACCTTCCATTCTTCTGAGCTCAGTAAGATGAGGACCCAGATTGTTGGGGACAAATATGCTGACTTTGTAAACTGCTCAGAGAGTGCTATGAAGCGGTTTATAAATCTAAGTGCTATTGCTAAACAACTTCAACAGAAAAGTTGAAAGATTCCACTACTAAACAACTAAAGAAGTTGCTTAGTGGAGGAATCTTTCAACTTTTCTTTTAATGTATGCAAGTCAATATTTACCAATAAAGTGAAAAAAATCTGTTATTGTAATTATTATTAACAATATTTTCTATCTTCTATTGTTATTACAGAATCAGTAATTTCACATGTTTATCCCTTAACAGAGTAGTCAAGATTAATTAAATCAATATCTTTAAACTTGGCCATTTTAAAATGTGTGGACTTCAATTCCTATAATGGCTGGGGAATTCTGGGAGTTTAAAACCACACATCTTAAAATGGCTGAGTTTGAAAAACACTGTTCTACATCATGATTTCTTGACCGATATTGTCTGCTTATCAGTACATTTGGTCTCACAATTTTGATTTTTAAAAGTGCTCTTAGAAATATTCAGCATATGTTTTACAAGCTAACTTCTGTATTGAGCTACGGAAGGTGTATAAGTTCAAGTATTTAATTATTCAGTCAAAAAAAAATCAAGTTTATACAAATTTATACAAAACAAATGTCCAAGTTGGTTAAAAAGAAATACTAGCAAAGAATAAATATCTGAACTATAATTGCATATTTCACAAATGTTTAAAGTCAAAAGGTTTTACAGAGCAATTTATGATTTGTCAGTGGAAAAAAAAGAACTTTGAATGGTTAATGAATGTATTTGAATCAAGGCCAGGATTGTGTTTTTGGGTATGTGTCTTTTCTTGCTTTTATTTTCTTTATTTTGTTTGTTGCTCAGGTTACAGTCATGGTTAATCAAAACTCCTTTAATTTTACTTTAATCGGGCCATTAAGTTTTATGTTGCCTTTACCTAAAACCACAGTATGTGTTCTTAATCCAGCTAGTAAAAATTGTGATGCAATCATTTGCACAATGCATTCCCTATCTTGCCAGAAATAATCTATAAATATTGCAAAGGTTGTGAGACTTGCTCATTTTTTACAAATTATGGCATTTTTAAAGAGAAATGACTTTCTATTGTTGGATTTCATAATCTTTGAAGCATTAAACTTTGGTGGGACAGACATGTCAGCTCCTCCAGATTTCACATGGAGCCATAATTCAAGGGGGGGGGGGTTCAAGCAAGATGAGTTTTCTGCTTCCCATGAGAAAGTGGACAGAATTATTCTTTTGAATCCTTGGACTTTTCTTCCTAGAAGAATATTTCAGGCAGGTGTCTATAGAGATTCTCAATCATTCAGGTGATGGTTGTCCCAAAGATGTTTTTTTTTCTAAAAGGCAAATGGAAGAAGTGAACTGAAGAAGCTTCTTGGATGAGAAGTAAAATATTTTCAAAGAAAAAAAACACAAGGAAATCCAGTTGCCTTTTGGGAAAAAAGCCACTTTTGTTTCAGGCAGATGGAGACTCATCAGCACGTGAAAAATGTTGCTTCTCTTGAAAGAGAGAAAGACAAAGTTTTTAGGAATGCCTTTCTTGGCTCATGTGACTGGGCTGGCCTTTGGACCAGGTGTGATGTTTCAAGAAACAAGAAAATGTGTTGATGGGATGATCTGGAGTAAGAAAATGTCCCATCTGCTGCTCAGCAAGGTCAACCGAGCTTGGACTGAAACTATATGTGTGTGTGTGTGTGTGTGTGTGTGTGTGTGTGTGTGTGTGCGCGTGTTTTGTATTTGTTTGTGAAACATTTCATGAAGGTTGCCTATAGATTGAGAATAACAGAACAGAGTTGGAAGGGACCTTGGAGGTCTTCTAGTCAAACACCCTGCTCAAGCAGGAGACCCTACACCATTTCAGACAAATGGTTGCCCAATCTCTTCTTAAAAACCTTCAGTGTTGGAGCATCCACAACTTCTGGAGGCAAGTTGTTTCACTGGTTAATTGTTCTGACTGTCAGAAAATTTCTCCTTAGTTCTAGGATGATTCTCTCCTTGGTTAGTTTCCATCCATTGCTTCCTGTCCTGCCCTCAGGTGCTTTGGAGAATAGGTTGGTCCCTCTTTTTTGTAGCAGCCCTTTAGATATTGGAAGATGGCTATCATGTTATCCCTAGTCCTTCTTTTCATTAAACCAGGGGTCCCAAACCCCCAGTCCGTGGATATGCCAGAAAGTGGTCTGTGCAAACAAGCGAAGACCCATCTGCAGGATGCAGGCAACACGTAAAACCATACCCCCTCTGGTCCATGAAAAAAACTCTCTCCACGGAACCAGTCCCTGGTGCCCAAAAGGTTGGGGACCTCTGCATTAAACTAAATATACTCAATTCCTGCAACCGTTCTTCATATGTTTTATCCTCCAGAACCCTAATCATCTTTGTTGCTCTTCTCCACACTCTTTCCAGGGTCTCAAGATCTTTTTTATATTGTGGCAAACAAAACTAGATATAATATTCCAAGTGTGGTCTTACCAGGGCATTATAAAGTAGTATTAACATTCATATGATCTACCCAGCTCATGACATTGTCTTCACTTCCAACAATCTGTGAGACAACTAAAATCAGTTCAGAGTAATGTGAATGGACAAAGACAGTCAAGTCAAGTGGATTCTGAAGTTGTGCTTTTGGGAGTTGTCAACAAAGCGCCAGGCATAAGGGCTTCAGAGGAGGTGGTGAAGATGCAGTTAAATCACTAGAGCAGGCAAGGGTAAACTCTTAGCTATTTTGGAGACTGGAGAAGTTTCAATGAAGCTCCAGATGTGGTACCTAAATATCATAGAAGTTGTGGAAAGAAATGCACATTCCTCAGATTATATTCTGTTTGGTTTTGGCTTCTTAATGGCTTTATAACGTCCTGGTTTAGCATGACTCATAAGCCTAAACCTAAGCTTGCTTTTAAAATATGAAGTCTGCGATAGACGATATGCAAATTTACAAAAGAAGAGGTTTGTGCATTCTGGCACATTTATTTGGGGAGAAAGTTTCTCCTTTGGGGATATTGATTTACATGGTTCAGCACTGACATCCTTTGTATTGCAGAAAGAAGATCTCCAGATCTATGAAAAATATTGCCAAAACAAGCCTAAGTCAGAAGCTCTTTGGAGGCAGTGTGGAGACAGCCTTTTTTTCCAGGTAGGCTCAATAAAGCAAACCAACTGAGGGACCATTATTCTCGTGTGTTAGAAGATCCCACACCAGGCAACGGGTTGGGCTAAATTAGTGTTTCTCAGTTCTGGACACTTTAAGGCAGGGGTCTTCAAACCTGGCCCTTTTATGACTTGTGGACCTCAACTCCCAGAATTCCTCAGCCAGGCATGTATGCCTGGCTGAGGAATTCTGGGAGTTGAAGTCCACAAGTCATAAAAGGGCTGGAGAATTCTGAGAATTGAAGTCCATGCATCTTAAAGTAGCCAAAGTTGATTAACAGTGGTGATTTCTGTGCTCCTTTTCAACTTTGTGGTTCTGTTCGATCTGCTGAGTTAATATGCCTGCCGACTCACCAAAACACCCAGCTGCCAAATGCTTGGATTGATTGCAAGCATCGCTACTTTCCTCTTAGTGAAAGCACTTCTGCACAAGTGCAGACCTCTGTCTTTTAATCTTTATTTAAATTACTAGTTTGCTTAGATTTATTTATTAATTTTCCACCTTATTTCCAGTAGCTCAAGCAAGCTTGCATGCATGCATGCATGCCTGCATGTATGTACAGTATGTATGTATATGTGTATGAGGTTGCCCTAAAATTAGCCAATCCTCCATGGCTGAAGGAGTTGGAAAATCAACACTTCTGCCATTGCCCCACTCCACTTGTTTCCCCACTGTACAGACACTTCTCAACTTACGACCATAACTGACCCCAAAATTTCTGTTGCTAATCAAGACAGTTGTTAAATGAGTTTTGCCCCATTTTATGACCTTTCTTGTCACAATTGTGAAGTGAATCACTGCAGTTTTTAGTAACACGGTCGTTAAGTGGCTTCCCCATTGACTTTGCTTGTCAGAAAGTCGCAAAAGGGGATCCCGTGACCCTGGGACACGGCAGCCATGATAAATTTGAGTCAGTTGCTAAGCATCTCAGTTTTGATCATGTGACCACGGGGGATGCTGCAGTGGTCATAAGTCCCTTTTTTCAGTACTGTTGTAACTTTGAATGGTCACTAAACAAGTGATTGTAAGTCAAGGACTACCTGTATGGCCCTTCAGATCCAAAGCACACAACCCCCACTATTCTTTCAGAATATCCTGTCACGATATGGGGTCTGAATCCCCGAATCATTTCTTTCTATTTCGAATTTAATGTGTCTCCTTAAAATAAATTAGGAATGTCCATCCCCTGAAAGTGCTGCTTCAAGATGCAAAATTCAAGTTATGCCAGGACTGACTTAGGTGTTCCTTGAGGAAGAAAATGACATGTCTCAAACAAGATTGTTATGATTTATGACAGGCTCCATTGCTGTTTTGGCAGGTTCTACTACATTCATAACTACCTGTAAACGAGAAGGGTAGAGACTGAATTGCAGGATTCAATCTTGGTTGGTAATAATAATAATACCACCATCACCACCACCACCACCAACAATAATAATAGTAATAAAATTGGAAGGGACCTTGGAGGTCATCTAGCCCAACCCCCTGCTCAGGCAGGAAACCCTATACTAGGGGTAGGCAACCTTGGCTCTTTTATGACTCGTGGACTTCAACTCCCAGAATTCCTGAGCCAGCATGGCTGGCTCAGGAATTCTGGGAGTTGAAGTCCACGAGTCATAAAAGAGCCAAGGTTGCCTACCCCTGCCCGATACCATTTCAGACAAATGGCTGTCCAGTCTCCTCTTAAAAACTTCCAGTGTTGGAGCATTCACCGCTTCTGGAGGCAGGTTGTTCCACTGGTTAATTGTTCTAACTGTTAGGAAGTTTCTCCTTAGTTCTAGGTTGCTTCTCTCCTTGGTTGGTCACTGGGAGCAGAGGTGTAGTTTTCTGAGCTTTCAGACTCGTGCTGGAGCCCATCCTCAGGGAATTTCTCTCTACCAGAAAGTTCCACATATTCTGGTAGAGAGCAGTTCCCTGAGGATGGGCTCCAGCATGAGTCAAAAAATCAAAGGTTAAACTTCTGAGCGACCCAGATTGGATCCTGCAATGTTATCCTTCAATTTGCCTTCAATTCACGAGGGGTTAAATTGCTAATGACACCAAGACTGTACAATAGCTGTCTGAACTATCCTCTGGCAAACACACTATACATCTCTGTGGCTGGAACAATGGAAGTTCTAGAAGAAGGGAACAAAGGCAGTCTGCGTGTCAGCAAAATGAATGCTCTTTGCAAGTTAGCATCCAAATCTCTTGGCAGGAAAGGAATGGCAATTGAACATTTACTGTGCTGAAAGAGACAGATCACTCAGATGAACTGCTGCACACTTTTCCTTCTTGTAGCAAGTCAGTCTTAACTTCTGGTGACTGCCTGGACAAACCTCTGCAGTTTTCTCGGCAACCTTTTCAAACTTGGTTCACTCTTACCTTCCTCTTAGGACTGACAGGAAACGACTCGCCCAGAGGTGTCAAACTCAATTTCATTGAGGGCCACATCAGCATTGCGGTTGCCCTCGGGGGGCCGGGTGGGTGCGGCCAGGGTGGATGTGGCCTACTGGGTGGGCATGGATGGAGTGGGTGTGGCCTACTGGGTGGGCATGGCCAGCTCTACTTCGTTCGCGTCAAGGGTGCCTGTGGGGGTCTGGGCAGGAGTGGGACAGATCTGTGGGTCTCTGGCAGAAGGGGCTGGGACCGGGGCAAGTGCCAAGGCATGGTCCATTTCTTTATTCCTTACAAAGGGTGACACCTTCCCAGCATGCACCCAGGGGGGCAGGGCCAACATGGCAGAGGCTGGTTCCTCGCTGTTTCTCGACGGCCTTGTGGAGCTAAGACTGAATGCATTTCAGCATAGATGGCCACCACAAAATTGTACATTGGCTCCCAGCCGGCCTGGGCCAGGGCCAAGGCAGCGGGGCCGTTCCCTCACTGTTTCCAGGATGGCTTCGCGGGCCACATGAAACCACTTCGTGGGCCGCATCTGGCCCCCGAGCCTTGTGTTTGACATGACTAGCACAAGGTCACCCAGCTGACTTTGAATCTAAGTTAGGATTAGAACTAAAGTTCTCCTGGTTCTAGTCTGATTACCTTTAACTTCTACATCAACCTGACTCTCATATTACACATTAATATATATATTTTTGTACCAGTGTGCTATTTGTCTCTGGAGATTCTTGCTTAGTCATCCAGGTCATGGTTGTCCCAAAGGTGCTTTTTCAAAAGACAACTGGACTTTTTCTTGAAGACGTTTCGCTTTTCATACAAGAAGCATCTTCAGTTCTGACTGAATGCTGGAGAATGGAAGGATTTATATCCTTTGCAGTCATCTGGTTGTTAGCACTTGAAAGGTGGGTCATTAGCTCTTTAATTCCCCAGCATTCAGTCAGACCTGAGAATGCTTCTTGGATGAGAAGCGAAACATCTTCAAGAAAAAAAAACAAAGAAAGTCCAGTTGCTTTTTGAAAAAGCCCCCTTGGGCCAGTGTGCTATTTGTTTCCTAATATTGTCTAATCTCCCTAAGATACACAAAACTGCTCTTCTGTAAGACAGAATTATCTTTTTTTATAATCGACCATGGGAATATCCCAAGACATTGGGCTTATAAAACCAAAAGAGTATTAGCTTTTAAAAAATTAAATTTGTAATTTATTTCTTAGTGTAGCCAGTTAGATCAGTAGCATTTCATTCTCTCTTTTCCTTACGTTTTTTGCAGGAGTGTCAGAGGAAATTAGATCATAAGCTTTCCCTTGATGCTTATCTTTTAAAACCAGTCCAGAGGATTACCAAATATCAGTTGCTTCTGAAGGTAAGACTCCTCAGAAGGGGTTTATCTGCTAATAAAAGCACATATTTTTGCAGTATTTGATTGCACAAAAGGGGGAGTAATTATTCAGTCCATTCTAAAAGTGTGTTGATGCTGAATGAGGGAAAAAATGGTTTTCAAATGAATAAAACAGAATAATAGAGTTGGAAGGGATCTTAGAGGTCATCTAATCAAACCCCCTGCTCTATATCATTCAGACAAGTGGCTGTCCTGTCTCTTCTTAAAAACCTCCAATGATGGAGCACCCACAACTTCTGAAAGCAAATCGTTCCAGTGGTTAATTGTTTTCTCTGCCAGGAAATTTCTCCTTAGTTCTGTCCTTGATTAGTTTCCATTCATTGTTTCTTGTCTTGCCTTCTAGTGCTTCGGAGGCTAAGTTCATCTCCTCTTCTTTGTGGCAGCTCCTCAAATATTGGATTTATTTTATTTTATATTATTGAGTGGATTTACAAATGATCAGGCCCAAGGAACCAAGAGCAACATGGGGAATTGCTTTGGAGTGGTTTCTTTATTGTTGCTTGCAAAAATATACAGGAATAAAGAAACGGAAATAAACAAATACAGATACCTAACTTTTACCAGACTAAAGCGCTTATATTCATAATCAATAGATCAGTGGTGGGGAACCTATGGCACAGATGCCAGAGGTGGCACTCGGAGCCCTCTCTGTGGGCACATGTGCCGTTGCTCCAGCCTTGCCTCCCCCCACGACCCCCTCCTCACCAGCAGCCTCCCCAGAGGAGAGTCTCCCCTGAGCGTGGCCCACACGGAGCAGTGCAGCCAAGGACATGGCTGCCAGGCAGTGTAGACAAGACTCTGCCCTCATGTCCCAACGCATTGATGCTGCGGGGGGGCAGAGGGCGTGGCCCCCATGGCGTTGCTGGGCTGCTTGGGTGATCTGCGGCGGGCCCTGCGGGCAGGCAGGGTGGGGCGGAGTGGGGGCGGAGCAGGGAGTGGAGCGGCGGTAGGGCAGGGGGTGGGGCAGGGGCAGGGCGGGGCCAGTTTTGGGGCACTCGGTCTCTAAAAGGTATCACTGCACTAGATATACCCGGCGGAGACCTGGTGTCAGGCACCAAAGATCAGATCCACACATGAAGGTCAAATTAAACTTATGTATTGCTACTCATGCTTATGCACAGGAATATTCTCAGCTAATGGTTAGCACTTGGTAATTCATTGGGGGAGGGATGGATTTGGATTCTTTGTGGCAACACAAGAATTCTAAACTGATGATGAGTTTAACTCTGCCACTCAGCTCTGCTTACTCTTCTCCTTCTCCTATTCAAAGGACAATAGGCAGTGTTTGAGACTACTGTATATAAGGATGTGGTGAAAGCTAGGAGGGTTTTGCAAGGGTAGAAAAATATGCAGAGGTATAGTGAATACCATTAGAGTAAACAAAGTTTAATTGTATTTTCTTTTTTATCTAAAGTTTAGCTTATTCCTTCTTGTATCTGCGCTCTGCACATTTTTTGTGTGTACATGTGTGCATGCAAGTACGCCTTTGAGTCAGTGTTGACTCCTGGTGACTGGCTGACAAATCCCTCCCATTTTCTTGGCAACATTTTCAGACGTGGTTTGCCATTGCTTCCTTCCTACGGCTTAAAAAAAAAAAGACTGCCCCAAGTTTACCCAGCTGGCTTTGTGCCTAACATAGGACTAGAACTGTACAGTAGCTTGCCCTGCCAATGTTTGTGGGAGTGTGGTTTTTCTCTTGATTGTCTCTTGATTAGGATATTGTTTTCCCCTTGCTTGTTTGTCTGGTATTAATCCCTGGGTGTAGGCTGCTGAAGAGGATGTGTTTCTTTTTGCTTCCTCCTTAACATGTTTAAATGCCTCTTTTGAATGGCGTGTAAATAAATCTCTGTGTGTGTATTGATGGCTGATTTGTCTGAATGCAGTGATTCCAGAAATTCCCTAGCGTTTTTTGATTTGGCTTGGTCTAGAACAGTGGTTCTCAACCTGTCATTCACGGATCCTTGGGGGTGTTTGTCGCAATATCATTTTAATGTATGCTGATAGTGTACATTTAAAGTAACAATAAAGTTTCTATTCTATTCTATTCTATTCTATTCTATTCTATTCTATTCTATTCTATTCTATTCTATTCTATTCTATTCTCCAAACATAGAAGAAATTAAACAGGGAAATAAAAAACTGGTCCTGGCAATTTAGAATCTGTAACAGATTGTGAATAGGAGGAGAGATTGGATAAACTATTTCCTATTTCAGAAATGTCGGGTCTTTAAAACTGTTCACAATGGAAAATAGAAAATGGAAGATTCCCCACAGGGGGGGGGGGTTCCCACCTCTTCTCCAAAGCACCTGAAGGGAGGACAAGAAGCAATGGATGGAAACTCATTCTACGTCATGCTATGATTCTGTAAGGGTCTCCTGCTCGAGCAGGGAGTTGGACCAGAACAGGGCTTTTCAACCAGTGGTACGGGTACCACCTGTGGTACATTGGCACCTGGCAGGTGGTACGCGACCATCCTAGAAAAGTGGCAGCGGGGGAGGGGGCTGAACCGGTGACAGCACCGCACAAGCCTGAGCGAGAGATGGCTGGAGTTGCAGGGCTGTCAGGGCTCAGTGGAAGCGCCAGGATCAGCGCCAGGCTCCAGCTGGAGCTCGGCGCTACTCCTGGCGCTTCTGCTGAGCCCAGAAGCAGCACCGATCACCTGGAATGTTGCAGCATCTCCAGGGTCTTGTGATTTACATTCAGATGCTTGGCAACTGATTCATATTTATGACAGTCACAGTGTCCCAGGGTCATGTGAAGTGACCAAAACCTGCTGCAACCACCCAACAGACGGGGGGAATAAAAACCAAACACCCCCCCATCCCACCCCCGCTGCCAATCCTCAACAGAAATGCTCACATCAATGAAAACCTCGGACAGGAGGAAGAGCACCGCCGGGTGGCAGGCAAGTGTCTTGCTCGGCTGTGGCTTGGGGGGCACTTTTTTCAGTGCCATTGTAACTTGGAACAGTCACTAAGCGAACTGTTGTAATATCTGTACTTTATCACTTTTTTCCTTTTTGGGGGGGGGTCATCAAGTTTTTGACACCTTACTAAGCGACTGGTGGTACTCGGATGTTGCCATATCCTAAAAGTGATACAGTGGGTGAAAAGGTTGAAAAGCCCTGGACTAGATGACCTCCAGGGTCCCTTCCAACTCTGTCATTCCATGATTCTGTAAGCGTCTCCTGCGGGAGCAGGGGGTTGGACTAGAAGACCTCCAGGGTCCCTCTCAACTCTGTCATTCTATGATTCTATGATATCTGAAGTCTTGCTTTTTTACAACCAGGAAATGATAAAATGCAGCAAGAATTCTGAAGGCACTGCTGAACTTGAAGAAGCTCTTGCAACAGTTCTTGATATCATCAAGTCGGCGAACGATTCCATGCACCAAATAGCAATTACAGGCTATGAGGTAGGCCTTGCCGAAATTTAAAAAACAACAACAGTGTTTCTCAACCTTAGCAACTTTAAGATGTGTGGATTCCAACTCCCAGAATTCCAAATGCTGGCTGGGGAAAAATTGGGAACGTTGATGGCAGCGAGACTACTCCATGCACAAAAATGAAAGGACACTTTAATCCCCACAATGGATGAATGGCTGCAAAAGCTGATGGAGTTAGCAGACATGGCTAAATTGACTGCTTCAATTAAAAAAAACACAAACAAAATAGCAAGTACTTTTGTTTCTACTTGGAAACCGCTTCTGGACTTTGTGCTTGAGGTGGGAAAAAAAATGAAACTTTGATTTTGGGTTTTACTGATAGAGCTGTTGTTATAGAAATGGCTAGTTTATACTACTAGATCAGGGGTAGGCAACCTTGGCTCTTTTATGACTCGTGGACTTCAACTCCCAGAATTCCTGAGCCAGCATCGCTGGCTCAGGAATTCTGGGAGTTGAAGTCCACGAGTCATAAAAGAGCCCAGGTTGCCTCCCCTGCACTAGATAAAAGTAAAAAATTGAGGTTTGATGTTACTTCTTATTCTACTGCACCAAAAGGAGTTGGAAATCAGTGCCTTTTTTTTTCTTTGTCCCTTCTTCTCTACACTTTTCTCTTCCCTTTTTCCTCCCCTACTTTTCCTATTATTTCCTTTTGTATTTTTATATCTTATATTAGAAATTAATTTAAAAAAAGAGGTTTCTCTTTTTCTGAAATATCTTATTCTTGCTTTTAAAATGTAAACTGTCCCGAGTCGTTCGAAGCTGGAGTCTCCAAAATAAATAAATAAAAATCTATAGGGACAAGACTTCTTTTTTTGCTAGCAATAGAGTACAAGTAATCCTTGACTCACAACCACTTCTTAGTGGTTGTAATGGTGCAAAGGTGCTTATAACCCAGTTTTGATGTTTTGGTGGTCTCTCTTCAAGTCCTGTGACCTCATTTTGGGTGCTTGGCAACTGCCCTGCGTTTATGGCTGTTTGCAGCATCCCGCGATTACATGACCCCCGTTTATAAGTTTTTCGCTGAAAAGTTGCCCCATACTGAACAGTGGGTGTGCTTAACAACTATAGCAAACAAAAGGTCATTAAATCAGGCTGATCATGGGACGGCCCACTTTACAATCGTCATGACTTACAACCGTAATTGGCAGGCTCCATTACGGTTGTAAGACCAGGACTTCTTGCACGGCTATCCATCTGGAAACCGAGTATGAAATTGTATTGAGACTAAGATAGTTGAGGTGTGGATGTAGCGAAAGGCTAGAATTAAATCCTTGTTTTATGCGTGTTATTTCTCCTGTCCCGTTTCTCTTTTTCTCTAGGGAGATGTGGCTGAGCTGGGTAAATTGCTCCTGCAGGGCTCCTTCAATATCTGGACCGATCACAAAAAGGGACACAACAAAGTGAAAGATTTGGCCAGGTTCAAGCCGATGCAGAGGCATCTCTTCTTATATGCCAAAATCCTACTTTTTTGCAAGAAACGGGAAGAGAACACAGATGCTCACGAGAAGTCTCCTTCCTACAGCTTTAAAAATTCCTTGAAGGTGAGCCATTTCTTACAGTGGAAGGGAGAGATGTTTGAAATTAAAGGACGGACGAACATCAAGCACTTATCCCAGAATTTCAGGCGTGTTCATTTGTCAACGGTAGACAAGGCTAGATCTTTTCAAGCAGGTTCAAAGGAATCGTGACAACGGTAACTTCAACCTATTGCCCTTGTGGAACAATTTCTGCGTCGAGAGGAAAAAGCTTTATACCAAACATAAAAACGAGTTTTTCCAAAAACTAGAAAAAAAATGCAGTGCTACAGGTTGCAGATTATATGGCTTGAAACAAAATTGCAGATGGATTCAAAATAAATTGAGCATGAATACCTTAGAAACGCAAGCTGAAAATAATAGAGTAGCATTTATTACAGACAAAGACCAACTTATGCAGACACAGCATAGATTGGCAAGAGCATATGTGAAAAAGGTCTTGGGATAGCAAGCTGAATACGAGTCAGAAATGTGATGCCATTTCAAAAAAAAAAAAAAGCAAATTTAAATTTAGGCTTCATCAACACAATATCGTTTCCAAATGTTGGGATGATTCCATTTAACTGATCAGATTTCCCCCCTTCAGAATTGTGTCCATTGCTACCATCACACTTTAAGATCTTCTTCTTCTTGTGCCATATCCATTATTGGACGTTGGCGATCATGTTGGCGATCCTGTTTTTATCAGCAGCCGCACGAAAAAGTGCTGCTGAGTTTTGTCCAAACCAGTCCCTTAGATTTTGAAGCCACGATGTTCTTCTTCTGCCTGGACCTCGTTTGCCTTCAGTCTTTCCCTGGAGGATTAAATGGAGTATGCCGTATTTTTCTGGGTGTCGCATCACATGTCCGAAATATTCTAACTTTCGTTTTTTAATTGTTTTGATGATTTCCCTTGGCTTTCCCAGGTGGCTTATCACCTCCTCATTTTTGATCTTGTCAACCCAGCTTATACGTAACATCCGCCTGTAAATCCACATTTCAAATGCTTCTAGTCTCTTCAGGTGGCCTTCTGTCAGAGGCCAACTCTCTACTCCATAGAGCAGGATAGAAAAAATATAGCATCTGACAAGCCGGATTTTCAGTCTGAGGCTTATGTTGTGACTGCAGAAGACCTTTTTTCATTTTGAAGAATGCTGTTCGAGCTTTCTCTATCCTTGCCTTTACTTCAGTGGTCATGTCCCAGCTTTCATGTAAATTAGAACCGAGGTGCGTGATCCTTTCAACTTTTTCTAGTGGTATTCTTTCCTTAAAGTAATCCACTTTAAGATGGATTCAGACAAACAGAAAGAGCTTCAGAGAATGGCAGTGAAGATGATCACTAAACTAAACTAAAAAGTAGGATCTATGAAGAAACGTTGAAGGAATTAGGAAGGATGAGAGAAGATGGGGTTAGATATAACACAATTCTGGTCAGGATTAGACAGCTGCAAGATTATACTTCAAATAGAATCCAGAATAAACATATTACTCTTTACTTTTCATCTTTTTTTTTAAGGTGGGATCATCCTTAACACTCTTCCAGGCTCCCACCACATACTAGTTTTAACTTATTTGACTCTTTATTGCATTTATATTGCTACCAAACATTTTTTTTAACCTTCCATGAGTCTCTTCTCACAGAAACTTCATAGGTTTTGTGGTTTGTGATTTATATCATCATGGGCTTTGAACTCTAGATATACAGAACAAGAGAATGTCTGCATAAGGCAGGGGTCTTCAAACTTGGCCCTTTTATGACTTGTGGACTTCAACTCCCAGAATTCCTCAGCCAGGCACGTGTGCCTGGCTGAGGAATTCTGGGAGTTGAAGTCCACAAGTCATAAAAGGGCCAAGTTTGAAGACCCCTGGCATAAGGATTCCATGGCATAGACTGTAATGAAGTGAAAATCAAAGCAATCCACATTGAGAGGATTGTCATCTTCTTAAATTTTAGTGGATTCAACATTTTGTTCAGTTGTTATTCATGTCCGACTCTTTACGATCCCCTGTCCTCCACTGTCTCCCGGAGTTTGCCCAAATTCCTGTTCATGGCATCTCACCCTCTGCCATCCTCTTCTCCTTTTGCCTTCCATCTGTCTCAACAACAGACCTTTTCCCAGTGAGTCCTCTCTTCTCATTTGGTGGCCAAAGTATTTGAGCTTCAGCTTCAGTATCTGTCCTTCCAAAGAACAAGATTGATGGACTTGATCTCCTTGCAGTCCAAGGGACTCTCGATTTGAAAGCAGGATTCAACTTTCTTCTCTTTTATTGTATCCTCCTAACATGAGCAAGGTTGAACCTATGCTTTGTAGGTGCTTGGAAATTTAGCATCTTTGTGACTTTTGTAGTGCTTCTGTATTACCTGTGGCATAGAAGAAACATTCCCTGTGCCTTCTCTCTGCTATACTTGTACCTCCCATCCGGCCACCCCAGGGCTGAATGTTAATGCAACCTTTAACTCTAGGCCAGTGGTGGCAAACCTATGGCACGCGTGCCAGAAGCGGCACTCAGAGCCCTCTCTGTGGGCACACGTGCCATACCCTGGAGATTGCAGCCGTCCCTTTTCAACCAACCACCCGCTAACTCGCTGAGGTCCCATGTGGCCGGATGCATCCCAGCATGGGTGGTTTCCGTTTCCCCCCTCCCATCCCTCCTGGCCTCGCATGCTCTCCTTTTCCCGGGCACAACCCACTGCATTGCCTCCTCAGCTGTTGGCCAGCCGTCCAGTTCAGAGGCGGCTTCTCTGAACTGCTGGCGGCAGGCTGCGGAGCCCCAGAGTGCGCTGCTGATGGATCCTGTCAGCCCCCATGCACTCGCTGGCCTCTGTGTGCAGGGGCTGATGGTGTCAGGCAGCAACCACCCGGCCCCTGCCTCGCCTTGCCCTTTGACAATGGCACCCCCACCCTGCCTTGCTTTGCCTTGCCTCACCCTGCAGGACGAGCTTCCTGCCCACCACCCCACTGCCAGAGACGCCCTGGATCTCCCTCAACCCTGCCCAGCCCCCACAGGCATCCCTTCCCACAAGCAACATTGAGGTGACCACGCCCACCTTGGCCACACCCACCCAGTCTGCCATGACCACCACAGCCACGCCCACCTGGCATCCGGCGATAAATAAGTGGGTTTTGGGTTGCAGTTTGGGCACTCGGTCTCTAAAAGGTTCTCCATCACTGCTCTAGACCAAGTTAAAATATCACCCTGCCTTGCTGCCACACCATAAATCCTCATTGTTGTAATGTCGGATACCGTTGCTACAACTGAGGAACTGTGTCCTTCATGGAAGACAGCTTCTGAAGTGGGGCTTGGTGCAAAATCCCCATTAAAGGCTTTTTCTTGTGTCGTCAGTACTCTAAATGACCTTGCACTTATTTAGGAGAAATCAAACTGCATGAACATTCCATGCATCCATTGAACCTGGCAATGCCAAGACAAAAGTTCTGGGCCACTCATAGGCTGGAAACAGATTTCCATCTGAGTGGACTTGGTTTCATCCTACAACTGAAGGTCTTCTTGTTTTCTGCATGGTTATTGTTTACTTGTTTATTAGATTTTTATCCTTCCCCCCCCCATATTACTTTATAAGTAACTCAAAGCGGTGAACATACATAATGTCCTTCGTCCTCCTATTTTCTCCATATCAATACCCGTGAGGAGGGTTGGGTTGAAAGAGAGGGACTGGTCCAAAGTCACCAAGTCGGTTTTCATGCCTAATGCGGGACTAGAACTCACACTCGTGATTGGTCCAAAGTCACCCAGCTGGCTTTCCTGCCTAAGGCAAGACTAGAACTCACAGTCTCCTAGTGATTCGCTCAAAGTCACCCAACTGGCTTTCATGCCTAAGGTGGGACTAAAAAACTCACAATCTCCTGGTTTCTAGGCCAGCATCTTAACCACTATCGCAAACTGCTTCGTGTGCTTTTAAGGTAAACTAAAGAGAACAAAGTGTCTTGCAATGACCAATGATCATGTCCTGTTATTCAAACTTCTCTTTCAAACAGATGAGCACTGTTGGTATTACTGAAAATGTCAAAGGTGATCATAAGAAATTTGAGATCTGGTACAATGGCAGAGAAGAGGTCTATATTATTCAGGTATTGCAGTTATAGATTTTTCTTTTCCTGCTCATATATTAATTCACATTCTTGATTATTCAGAATTACCGGAGAAAATAAACCTTGGGGCCATAGCGAGACTAAAAAAAAAAAAAAACAAACCAAGATTTTGCTTCCTCCCTTTTTAAGATTAATGTTTGTTTCCTAGCCAGCAAGTCCTGGTTCACAATTTGTTGCAATCGCTAATTCATTGAACAGCTTTTACAAGTTACTCTGCAGTAAGTGTCCTTACGAGCAGAAAATGGAAAGAGTTCTTAGATTTCCAGAATTAAGGAGAAATTTCCTGGCAGTCAGAGCAATTAATCAGTGGAACAATTTGCCTTCAGAAATCGTGGGTGCTCCATCCCTGGAGGTTTTGAAGAAGAGATTGGACAACCATTTGTCTGAAATGGTATAGGTTCTCCTGCTTGAGCAAGGGGTTGGTCTAGAACAGCGGTTCTCAACCTGTGGGTCGCGACCCTTTTGGGGGGTCGAACAACCCTTTCACAGGGGTCACCAAGCCCCCTCCCCGTTGTCCAGACTACACTGGGGCAGGAGCTTCTCGCCGACCGCTGGAGGGCAGGTGGGGCAACTCTGCCCCCAAGCGCTCCCAGTCGTGCCAATCCAAAGGCAGGATATGGGGGGGGCTCCCACCCCATCCCGTTGCAGCCCTCGAGTCTCTCTGCCTGAGCGGTCCTTGGTAGCTCACCGCTCCCGCAGGTTTCAAGGGGGGACCGCAATGCCCTCCAACTGATCCGGGACCCCGTCGGTGCCCGCCTCCCCACTAACTTTGCTAGTCAGAAGGTTGCAAAAGATGATCACATGACCCTGGAAAATGTGTTTGTGTATGTGTGTGTGTTGTAGGGCAAGGGGAGAAGAGAAAAAGTCAGATCTCCTTCAGAGTCATAGGTGGAGCAGCTGAAGGTGTGATTAGGCACCCATGCTTCAAGACAAAATTTCATTTATTTGTAATTAGAAATAAATATTTCGCAATATATAATTACATATTGTTTTTGTGATTAATCACTATGCTTTAATTATGTTCAATATGTAACAATGAAAATACATCCTTCATATCCAGATAGTTACATTATGATTCATAACAGTAGCAAAATTACAGTTATGAAGTAGCAACAAAAATAATTTTATGGTTGGGGGTCACCACAACATGAGGAACTGTATTAAAGGGTCGCAGCATTAGGAAGGTTGAGAACCACTGGTCTAGAAGATCTTCAAGATCTTCCAACTCTGCTGTTCTGTAGGTGAAGATATTTAGATCTCCAAAGGGATAAAAATGGTCAAACACATAGGAAGGGAAGGAATGGCAGATCTATTAGATGCAAAACTGTTTAGCTGAACCCTTGCCTGAATTTCTTGCCGTTGCTAAGTATGAGGGTGGAGGTTTGTTCTCCGAGGTTGTGGGTTGGTTTCCGAATATTTTGTTACCAGACCAGGTAACACCTTCAGTGGAATTTAGGGAATGTCATTGTTGGTGTTCTTCTGCTTATAAGGACTTCATGTGGTCAGTAGGTCTTGTGATGGGAGGATCATGTCAGGTAAAGGTCTTTTGATGGCTCTAGTTATGGGTCTTGTGAGGGGACAGTGTGGGTCACGACAGGTGAGGGTCTTGTGATGGCTCAGATGTGGGTCACATCTTGTGATGGATGGGTCTTGTGAGGGGTCAGGTGTTGGTCACATCGGATGAGAGTGTTGTGATGGGAAGATCATGTCAAGTGAGGATCATTGGGAGGTGAAATGCTAGTTTGGGAGATGAGTGTTTGGGTTGGTTGAAGGTCGGTTGAGCCCTTATAAGCAGAAGAACACGGACATCCCCTAAACTCCGCTGAAGATGTTACTTAGCCTGGTAACAAAACGTTCGGAAACCAACCCACAAGCTCCGAGAACGAACCTCCACCCTCATCTTACACCTGAGCTACAGATGTTCACCACTACCGCATTGCTAAGTATCCTGTTGCAACTGTAACTGTAACTGCAATTGTACCCTGTTTTTCAGGCAGCATCTATGGAACTGAAGAACACATGGGTGTCAGAGATCAGGAAAGTCCTAACAGGACAACTGGAAGCTTGCAGAGGTAGGACTGTAGCTGGGAGACACATCAACATTGCACATTCTTTCCCTCTCTGAAAGGTTGTAGAAACATGTCCCAAACAAATGTCACTGGAGTGCATCGAGGTACCTCAAGAGAACCGCTAAGTATGCCTAAGATATATATAAATCAGTTGTGTTCTTAATTATCCCACCGAAGGAGCACAGAGGGATCAGCCCCTCTCTCCTTATATGAGAGAGATGCAGAAGATAAAATAGGGTAGTGTAGGATAGGATAGGATAGGATAGGATAGGATAGGATAACATTTATTGTCATTTTGCCTTCTTTATTGTCAGAAGACAAATGACCCCCGGTCTTGTGTCCTCACCACACTGGTATGCCATGGCAGTGCTGCAACCGGCCAGGAAGTAAGTAGGCAGCTACATTTTGTGAAGCTGATCTTTCCGGATAGTCTTCAAGGACAGGCCTGTGTAAAAGAAATATAGAAGTCTAACTATGAGATGACAAACGTGTGAGGGGCTATCTTCAGTATATCTTGAGATGAGGCTCCCAGCCCTGCCCTCTGACCCTAGCTTCCACCAACTCATAAATACCTGCATACATACATACACACTGATACAGTTGAAGTATAGGAAAATTAGAATATAAAAGACAAGAAAGATACAAAAAGAAAGATGAAAAGCGTTAGAAAAACATACTATTATCACTTCCGCCCTTCTTTCCTTCAAAGGCTTGCCCTCTTAACTTTCCCTCTTTAACCTTTTTTAACCCCCAGATCCATAAATCTTCAGTCTTTTCTTCTTTCACCAAAAAAGTCATAATCTTCCACCAACTGTTCCAGGTGATTGTTGTTGTTAGTTGCGAAGTCGTGTCTGACCCATCACAACCCCATGGACAACGTTCCTCCAGGCCTTCCTGTCCTCCACCATCTTCTGGAGTCCATTTAAGCTCACGCCTACTGCTTCAGTGACTCCATCCAGCCACCTCATTCTCTGTCGTCCCCTTCTTCTCTTGCCCTCCCTCTTTCCCAGCATCAGGCCCTTCTCCAATGAGTCTTTGCTTCTCATTAGGTGGACAAAGTACTTGAATTTCAACTTCAGGATCTGGCCTTCTAAAGAGCAGTCGGGGTTGATCTCCTCTAGTGATTGCTGCTATGTGTGGGGCATCACATCTAGCAGCATTTTTTTTTTTTTTTTGGCTTGCTTCCTCCACCTTAGACTACCTTCTCCACTGCACTCTTCCTCTGAGGCAATAAGAATTTGTGATGCTGCCGAGTTGACTTTTCCCTCCCCCTGTAAATATTTCTATTGTGTGGAGTACAAGATGCTGATCTGTCCCCTGTGTTTCCTTCTCTCCTTTCTTTTGAGACCAGGCAGCCTTTGGGACCTATGTTTAGCCAAGATGCAGCTGCTCAGATATTCTGCATTGCGCTGACTGTTATCCTGATCCTGTACCAGCTGTGACAAAGTGGGAGGAGGGTCCTCTCTGCCCTTCCCTCCTACATCCGTCCCCTAGGAATAAATGCTAAGGCAACCTTAGAAGTCACAGGCAAGGGATCCTTATTGTGAAGACATCCCTCTCCGTGGGATCCTTGGCACTCTCTGAGCTTGGTTGTTTTCTTTCAGGCATTACACTACCAAACTAGATAACATTATCAGTGCTAAAGGGAGTGGTGTCTGCTCTCTTTTTATATACTAGTCTAGTGGCTTGCCCAACACACCTCCCTGCCAGAAATCAACACCCAGATTAGCAGAGATTAACATCAAGATTAACATCCCTAGACTAACAATCAAGAAGTAAACAATATCCCAGTTAAGGAACTACCAGCGCAGACAAACAAGCTAACAGGAAACAACCGCCTAATCAAGGAACTATCAAGATGACTCCCATCAACACTGACAGGGCAAGTTATTGTACAGCAGGGGTCTTCAAACTTGGCCCTTTTAGGACTTGTGGACTTCAACTCCCAGAATTCCTCAGCCAGGCACGCCTGCCTTTTTTTTTTAACCCATGGCAGAGGAGGGAAATCTTTCAGGCTTTTAAGATTCTGTTATAAAGCAGAATTCCTGTAATTCTTGCAGTGCCTTTTTCATGACTATCAACCTCAACGGACTGACATATGGCACTGCATCAGTTACTAAATTTTCCTAGGAACTGTTTGCTCTAGTGATTAAGGCACTCTAGGCTGGAAACCAGGAAACTAGTCCCGCCTCAGGCATGAAAGACAGCTGGTTGACTTTGGACCAATCACCAAGAGATAGTGAGTTCTAGTCCCGCCTTAGGTATGAAAGCTAGGTGGGTGTATGTGGATCAGTCACCAAGAGACAGTGAGTTCTAGTCCCGCCTTAGGCATGAAAGCTTGCTGGGTGACTTTGGGTCAGTGACTCTCAGATAGGAGAAGGAATGAGTGTTAGTATGTTCTCGCTTCCCTGTTCATCGTTTCAATTCATGCTAAAGTTGCAATAGGATAGGGCAGGGGTAGGCAACCTTGGCTCTTTTATGACTCGTGGACTTCAACTCCCAGAATTCCTGAGCCAGCCATGCTGAGGGGAAAGGGAGAGGTTTCCAAGCTGAGCCATGCTGGCTCAGGAATTCTGGGAGTTGAAGTCCACGAGTCATAAAAGAGCCAAGGTTGCCTACCCCTGGGATAGGGTATGCCATGTATTTATTTACTTAACCAATGTATAAAGCCCCATGTATAAAAATGGAATTATGGGTGGTGAATAAAAAATAAATAAAAACATAACTAAGGAATCTATTTTTTAAAAAAAAGTCTACAAAGATCTTATCAACAAGCTTATTTGTTCCAGTAAGTGTAGAAATGAAATATTCATTTTGTTTTTCCTTCTTTTTCTGTAACAGAAGCAAGTCAGCTTCACCAAAGAATCACAGAGAGCGTTTATCACGCACCAATGAATTCAGCCAACTCCTCCAGGTATGGAACACCCAAACTGGGTGGCCTAGAACAGAGGTGTCCAACCTTGGCATCTTTAAGACTTGTGGACTTCAATTCCCAGAATTCCCCAGCCAGCATGGCCTAGGGCAGTGGTTCTCAACCTTTAAATACCTTTTGTGGCCACGGACCATGGCCACGGACCCCCAAGGCTTAACTCAAGATTTATAGTAAATCATGACATTCAAGCATTCGTGGACCCTCTGTGATGACATCGTGGCCCCCAAGGGGGGTCCATGGACCATGGACCACAGGTTGAGAACCACTGGCCTAGAATCTTCCTATGATTTCTCAGCAGTTCTGGTGGCTTCTGAGATGGGAAACCAGAATGTGACTCCTAGTTTCTCAGAGGTTCCAACAGGGAAATTCACATAGTTGTAGATGCCATCTTGACAATTTGTGACCCTGACTCTCAATTTCTGTCATAAGTCAAGGACTACTGTATAGAGACCTAATCTAAAGCTAATATCCGGAACCTCTTTGGGTTTCTCCTAAAGCAGTGGTTCTCAACCTGTGGGTCGGGACCCCATTTGGGGTCGAACGACCATTTCATGGGGGTCGCCAAACAACGCAGTCTGCCATTTTTTCCCCCCTTTTCCTTAGCTGTGCTACTCCCTTTTATTCTATTGGCTTTTGAAAGCCAATAGAACAGACTCTCTTGAATAGAGTCTAATTCTATTGGCTTTCAAAAGCCAATAGGAATTGTCCAGGCTGTCTCTGCCCTGCTGAGCCCGCCAAAAGTCCCATTCTGCAAACGGTGCTGCACCAGTTGAGTAGTCCTCGACTTACGACCGGTTGAGTAGTCCTCGACTTACAACCCATTGGGGGTCACAGCATTAAAAAAGTTGAGAACCACTGTCCTAAAGCAAGGGTCCCCAATCCCCAGTCTGTAGGACCAGTATCAGGCCACAGCATGCCAGCAACCAGTCCGCACAAACAAGCAAAGCCCCATCCACGAATTGCAGGCAGCACACAAAACCACGCTCCCTCTGGTCCACGGAAAAACCTCTCTCCATGGAACCGGTCCCTGGCGCCCAAAAGATTGGGGATCTCTCCCCTAAAGAATAACACAGTAGAATAGTCTAAAATAAATAGAAAAGTTCTGGAGGAAAGATGAGGCCAGCAAAGCTATAGAAAGTTGCATGCAGGGATTAAAGCAGGTTTAAAATTTGCTGGGTTTTGATTTGTTACAGACAAGAGAAGAAATTCAGAGAGGAAAAATCCACTGCATCCAAAGACAGCCTTAAGGAAAAACTATCCTACATGACATGACTTTCATGTCTTGTTTTTAAAGAGTTATGGTATTGCAAAGTGAATGACACCACAGTTTTGTCCTCAAGGCGATGCATTAACAACAGGGGCTGACAAGGGTGTGGGAACAGATAGCCAAGAGCATGTTCTGTGTGTGGCATTTGCTAAACTTTAGCATTTGGGTTGTTTCCTGATTAAGATGCCCAGAGGTATAAACTGATAGATACAGAAATATAAATACAGAATTACGGAACTTTATTTGCAACTGTTTTAAAGGTGAACCAGATAAACTAAAAAAATACACTAATCTATGCATACACAAACATGCAGAGAGTTGAGGACTTTCCTTGCTGTCCAGGTCAGTAGTAATAGACCCTCTCTAATCAAACATGACAAGAAATGAATGTGGGGCATGTTGTTTGAAGATTACATTTCACCTAATAGGTCTAAATAGAATTTCCCAGGAGATGGTACATAGATGTTATGTCTAGTCAGCAGCTGAATTATACAGGTAGTCCTCGACTTACAACCATTCATTTAGCAACTGTTTGAAGTTACAACAGCACTGAAAAATGTGACTTGTGACTTGTCCTTGCGCTTACGACCATTACAGCATCCGCACGGTCGTGTGATCAGCATTAGGGCACTTGGCAACCGGCATGTATTTATAATGGTTGCAGCGTACAGGTGATCATCATTTGCGACTTTCCCAGGGAGATTCCAACAACTGTGGCAAGAGCAGTCATAAAGCAGGGCAAAACTTACTAATAACTGCCTCGCTTAGCCACAGAAATTTGGGGCTCTCCGTTGCGGTCGTAAGTCAAGGACTTCCTTGTAGCTCTCTGGAGCTCAACCGCGGGTTGGCAATAGGTTAAATGCAACGACGTGAAGACTTGGCAGAAGAAAGAGGTTGCCAGGCATGGTGGCACTTGAGTTAGGGGGATGTGAGAAAGAACATTCCAGGCCTCATCTCATTGCTTCAACTTCTTAGTCTAGTCCAGGGGTAGGCAACCTTGGCTCTTTTATGACTCGTGGACTTCAACTCCCAGAATTCCTGACCAGCCATGCTGAGGGGAAAGGGAGAGATTTCCAAGCTGAGCCAAGCTGGCTCAGGAATTCTGGGAGTTGAAGTCCACGGGTCATAAAGCAGCCTAGGCCAGAGGTAGGCAACCTTGGCTCTTTTATGACTCGTGGACTTCAACTCCCAGAATTCCTGAGCCAGCCATGCTGAGGGGAAAGGGAGAGTTCCCAAGCTGAGCCAGGCTGGCTCAGGAATTCTGGGAGTTGAAGTCGACGAGTCATAAAAGAGCCAAGGTTGCCTACCTCTGGTCTAGTCTATCTAGTGAAAAGGAGGAGCAGGGGTGACATGATAGCAGTCTTCCAATATTTGAAGGGCTGCCACAAAGAAGAGGGGATCAAGCTATTCTCCAAAGCACCAAAGGCAGGAGAAGAAGCAGCGGATGGCAACTAATCAAGGAGTGAACCAACCTAGAACTAAGGAGGAATTTTCTGACTGTTAGAACGACTTGCCTCCAGAAGTTGTGGGTGCTCATCACTGAAGGCTTTGAAGAAAAGACCGGAAGCCATTTGTCTGTAATGTTGTAGAATTTCCTGCTTGAGCAAGGGTTGGACTAGAAGACCTCCAAGGCCCCTTCCAACTCTGTTATTCTCTTATTCTGTTAAATGCAACTTCAACTTGTCCTTGGCACCTTTCAGGTGTAATTGTTGTCCCTCTCTTCCTGGAACCATTTCTGCCATGGATATAATCTAGTATGCTTCAATGAAAAAGAACGATTGCCATCTGCCCAGCTCCTATTGGACTGTTGGATTACTGGTGGCCTCTTATGAAGAACTAGGAGCCCAGATGAAAAAGATTTTTTTAAAAAAAATGTCATGGGGTTGTGGGAACCAAATGTATATTTTGCAAAGAGGACTAGTTGCTGGCAATCTGTTACCAATGAAGATGTTCCCCCTCCCCTTTCTGATCTCTGGAATTGCCCTCCATGGTCATTTTGGCTTAGCTACAGGAAAGGTCGGGCATCCAGCTGCCTTTTTGATGCCTGACTGGTGCTTCCCGTAGAGCAGTGGTTCTCAACCTTTTTAATGCCGCGACCCCCGCCACCCGGTCATAAGTTGAGGACTACTCAACCGGTTGTAAGTCGAGGACTACTCAACTAGTGCAGCACCGTTTGCAGAATGGGACTTTTGGCGGGCTCAGCAGGGCAGAGACAGCCTGGACAATTCCTACTGGCTTTTGAAGCCAATAGAATTAGACTCTATTCAAGAGAGTCTATTCTATTGGCTTTCAAAAGCCGATAGAATAAAAGGGAGTAGCACAGCTAAGGAAAAGGGGGAAAAAATGGCAGACTGCATTGTTTGGCGACCCCCGTGAAATGCCGTTCGACCCCAAATGGGGTCCCGACCCACAGGTTGAGAACCACTGCCGTAGAGTTTGTCAGATTTTACACAGCTTGAAAGGGGAATGGGATAATGTGCCACAGACGTGGGACAACTCACTGCGGAACAGTTTAAAATTCTATTCAGTTATTTAAAATAAATAAAAAATTATTTTATTTGTTGTTGATTACATTTCATTCTGTCCCTCCTTTTGCAGCCTTTAATGATTCAATTCCATCATTTCTTTGTTATTAGTGTAACTTTTGTCCAGCAATGAGTTGTCCATGGTGAGTTGGCCGTGGTGAGTAGGCCATGGTGAGTTGGCCATGGTGAATTGACCGTGGAAAGTGTTTCAACTGTTGATCAGTATTTTTCAAACTCTGCAACTTTAAGATGCGTGGACTACAACTCCCAGAATTCCCCAGAAAGAATTCTGCAAGTTCCTCTCCACAGATCTCCAAGTTGCCAACTCCCAGAGATCTCAAGTTGACAGACTGGTGATGTAGTTCTTTCCATTTGGTTCTTCAGTGTGGGTTGTTAAGCGAAACATCACGCGATTTTACTGCCAGCTTCTCCGCTGACTCTGCTTGTCGGGAGCCAACTGAAGTGCACAAATGGTAATCACATGACTGAGGGGATGCTGCTGTGGTCATAAATGCGAGGACCGGTGGGAAGTTTACTTTTTCAACACTGCTGTAACTTTGAATGGTTGCTAAACAAGGCAGTTGCTAAGCGAGGTACACATACACACTCAGATCCATGTTGAGAAGAATGTCTGTCCCAGTAAGAACAGACTGAGATGCTCTGCTTGTTGCAACAGATCTCTGTCAATGTATTAACAGTCACCTAACCATGTTTGTTTCATCTCTTTTGACTCCACAAGGTATGGCAGAAAATCCATGAGTTTGTGCGAAAATAAATCTGAACTTTCAAGGTTGGAAACATCAAACAACCGGAACATGAGCCCCAGCACCAGGCAGAAAAGAGGTAGGCTGTGCAGAAGACCCTCTTGTTGAAAGGCTAGAAGACAAGGGGTCATGGGGCAGAGGCGCTTGGGCTGTTGGGCTATCAAAATAGGAATTAATACAGTGAAATTGTTGACTCTGTCTTTCTCAGCGACTTCCCTGTTATAGGCCTTGTATTCAGTTGGGACACAACTCATATGGGCAATTGGAACATGGAAAGGATCAACTTTGATTTTTTAAAAAAAGCTTTGATATAAAGCCTCAATAGAAAGAAGACATTGAGACCCTAAAAAAGAGTGCAGAGAAGAGCAACGAAGATGATTAGGGGACTGGAGGCTAAAACATATGAGGAACAATTGCAGGAATTGGGTATGGCTTGTCTAGAGAAAAGAAGGAATAGGGGGTGACATGATAGCAGTCTTCCAATATCTCAGGGGTTGCCACAAAGAAGAGGGGGTCAGCCTATTGTCCAGAGCACCAGAAGGCAGGACAAAAAGCAACGGATGGAAACTAATCAAGGAGAGAACCAATCTAGAACTAAGGATAAATTTCCTGATAGTTAGAACAAATAATCAGTGGAATGACTTGCCTCCAGAAGTTGTGGGTGGTCCATCATTGGAAGCTTTTAAGTAGAGATTGGGCAGCCATTTGTCTGAAATGGTACAGAGTCTCTTGCTTGAGCAAGGGGCTAGACTAGAAGACCTCTAAGGTCCCTTCCAACTCTGTTATTTTGTATTCTGTACTGATCTCTCCTCGTATGATGTGCTGAATGCTTAAGCTGGCTAAGGATAGGGGAATCCGGTGATGCAGTGATCAATATCTGTAGGCAGGTACAGCACAATTTTTGTATTATCTGCAACTTGACTACTTGCTGAAGATGGAATATGGGGCCTTTGGTATGAAAAGCAGGCACCAAGAGTGGAGATCACCCAAGAGTGATTGATTGATGATAGGCCATCATCGTGTTTACTCTTAGCAACCACACAGATATTCTCCTGGTGATCGTTTCCTAAGCCAGACTGGCAGTTCTTAGCCTGATTGAATAATTACTAAAATAATTTTAAAATGGAAATTTAAGAGTGATGGAGAACATGGCAACATCACCATCCCTGGAGAGAGTTTAGCTTTCTGGTTTGAGATATGAGAGATTGCAGAGGAAAAAAAATGCTGATAACTTTATTCTAGGAGAGGCTGTTGTGATCTAAGCATCAGCCAAGATTGTACAGTGCCACTCAGACTGAAGCGATCACCAATTGCTAATGTAAACAGCCAATTGAGAAAAATATGAAGCTATCCACTGCTGTCAGCTATTGATTTTGTAGATTGTATGACTCCCCCACAGAATGTTTTTCCCAGTGAAGTAAATACACAGCGCACTCTTGAGTTGCTTGGTTGCTGTTGTATACTTCAGCTGAAAATGAAGCCTGAATAGGAAATTACTTTCTTGATTTCAATCGCTTCCTCTCTGGGCTGTGGTGATGATGGGTGATATTCTGTCTGCCTGATTGGGGAATCTCTCTGCTTGTTGATCCCCTATTACAGGGCTCTTCAAACCTGGCCCTTTTATGACTTGTGGACTTCAACTCCCAGAATTCCTCAGCCAGGCATGCTGGCTGAGGAATTCTGGGAGTTGAAGTCCACAAGTCATAAAAGGGCCAAGGTTGAAGACTCCTGTCATATTAGGAGAGCAAGTACCAGTCGCTTTACTTTAAGAGGTGGCCTTAGAATGGGATTTGTAATATAGACCTTTTGTGCTAGCCCAGCTGCTGATCTGCCCTTGTACTTGGCTGGGTGGGTGGATGGATGGATGGATGGAAGATTAGCAGAACTTTTGTCAATTTTACCTGGATGATATTAATAGACAAAAGATCCATCGTTTCACCATTCTAACATAAACAAAAAACCCTCAAGACGTCCACCAGTGACAAGGAAAACAACAACTGCAACTATAACAATCACTGAGGTTCATCCTCAACATTCTTTCAGAAGAGGCAGCCAGCCTAGCAGCCCAGAATACATCACCATGGAGGGCAGCAACTGGTGACACAAGGGAGAAAGCATGTCTACCACAATGTAGATTTGCCACCTGGAGAGGACACATTGCTTCTACCTCACCAGGTCAAAAAAACCCGCTATCTCTGATGCACAACAGGAAGAGAGGAAGGTTATTTTTGCCGTAGGCCTAGTGGCAGGTAAAGGCAGTTAGGCTAGTGGCCTTGGGAAACAGTTGATCTGAACTCACGCTGGGACAACCTGTTCAGGCAGATCCGCCTGGAGTCAATTTCATTAAGCTAAAACATCCTCTAAATCAGGTGTGTCCAACCTTGGCAGCTTTAAGACATGCGGACCTCAAACTCCCAGAATTCTCCAGCCAGGATGGATGGCTGGCTGGGGAATTCTGGGAATTGAAGTCCACGTGTCTTAAAGTTGCCAAGGTTGGAGACCCCTGTTCTAAATGGGAAAATAGGAGTATCTTTTTCAGGTCTCCCAGCTCCTCATCTTGAAAGTCTAGAAAGCTGCGGTTAGAACAAAATGAAACAGCAGAACCCAGCTAGATAGCTTCTTCCCTAACTTTTCATGGGCTTCAGTTGGACTCTTTTTTTTACAAATACTGTATAACTAACAAGCAAGTCCTGGAGCGCATAACACCAGACATGTCACCAGGAGGCAAAATCACAGAACCGCGTTTCACTAACTTTGACCATGTCATACTGGGGAATTCACCGGAGAAAGCAATTATGTTGGGAAGAGTTAGCGATAATAGGAAACCAGGCTGTCCAAGAACATGGTGGCTGGATACCATCAAAGCTGACACCAGCCAGAACATAGACAAGCTCAAAGAAGTAGTGCAAAATCAGAAGAGGTGCAGAAATCTGGCCCACGGAATCGCCAAGAGTTGGACACGACTGAATGGATAACATTACCACAGCATCTCTTGTGCACCCCCTGCTGGCTGAGGAGAAATTCTACTATGGTTTAATGTTAAGTCTTTTCAATCACCACCTAACACAAGGATCCCCACCCACCCCCACCCCGTTCGTGGATTGGTCCGGGCCATGGCCTACCAGCAACCGGGCCGTGCAAACAAGTGAAGCCCCATTCACTGGATGGAAGCAGCACACGAAACCATGCCCCCTCTGGTCCACGGAAAAAACTCTCTCCACAGAACCGGTCCCTGGTGCTCAAAAGGTTGGGGGCCTCTGACCTACGGCACGCCTGCTCATATTTCAGCAATAGAAATGGGGATATATATTTCCCAGAATCCGGTGCACAAACATTTCTGCCCTTCCTTTTCCTTACCCAATGCATCTTTCAGCTCCTGTATAATTCCAGCCAAATAAGCCATCCAGACAAGGATATATTTCATGATGCTTATAGAAGGACAGAAAATCTTAACATCTCCCAGTTCCAGGAGAGGTTTCAAGGACCACATTCCAGTTGAGATGGGGACAAAGTTAAAAGTGATCAGAACAAGAATTTAAAAATAAAAAGACTATCGAAGTTAGCAGAGGCATCAGTTGCTTGTGTCTTTCTACTGTGTCTCCTCTGAAGTAAGCAAGGGCCAGACATTTGGAGGAACAGTATGAAACTGAACAAAGTAAATTTATTCCTTTCACCTGTTTTGGAATCTGGTATTCTTTAGGAAGGGTTTTCTGGCATGATTGCAACTCTCCTTGGTAAATACATCAGAAGCGAGAAACAAATAGTTTGTACCGGAGTGACTCAGTTTGCAGGTGTGAAATGAGGATAAACAAGATTGTTGGGGCTTTTTTTAGAATGATGATTACTAGGTACATGAGAATAATAGCGAGCCTGGGATGAGTTGCCTAAGTGACATTATTGAATTCCTTCCATCCTTCAGAAACTCTTGTCTTAATTGTATGATGAATACCGAATAGCTAAATTGGTTTGGCAGGACTAATCTCATTGTTTGACCCTCAACAAGCTAAAGCAGGATTTTTAGATATAAAAGCTTATATCTTATAACAGGAAAACCTTTTTCCTTTTTCCTTCCTTCCTATTTCTAATCTGGAGTACATGTGTCATTGAAGAGGAGTCAGTAGAACCAGGGATTTTTTTGTCATAGAATGCCCAGAACGGAGTTCCGGCACCTTTTTTGGATGGAACCTTGTAGGATAGGCAAGGTGGGTTGTATGAGGTGTGTGAGTTCCGGCATCTTTTTTTTTTTAACAAAAAAAGCACCGATAGAGCAAATTAACAGAAAAACACAGCAACAAAGCCATGTTACTTTGAAGACGAGAAGGACAAGGGGTGACACGATAGCAGTGTTCCAATATCTCAGGGGCTGCCACAAAGAAGAGGGAGTTGTTGTGATTCCGTGCCAGCCTGTGCTCCCACCAGCTGAGTCGGAGGAATCTGAGGAGGAGGTGGAGGAGGCATTGGAAGGGCCATCAGAGCCAGAGGGAGGCTCTGATGAAGTACAGGACTCACAGTTGGATGCAGAGCCTGGGCCCTCCAGTCGTGTTTCTGAAGAAGCTCAGCTGTGTGAGGAGCATGAGTCAGACTTGGAAGAATCACAACTGACGGACTTGCTAATTGACGCATGCAGACGGCGTCAATTAGCAAGAGTAAATCAACAGAGATCAATGAGGCACCTCCAAAGTAAGAAGAAACAGCAAGGAGAGGCACCGCCTTAGGACTGCTAAATAAAGGGAGGAGGTGTGGGTGGTGCTGGTTGCTGAAGGCAACCGTTTGAAAACTGCGTCTTGTAATCTTGGTCTGTGACTTTTCTTGTGACTTTGCGTCTGCTTTTCATCGTGTTCTTTTGGACTTGAGTTTTCTGTATTTGACAGGTTTGTCAACAAAATTAAAAAGGGGTTTTGTTTTTGTTTGCAAGTCTCCAGCCTATTGTAGTAGCAGGGTTTTTGTCCTTGTGCAGTTAACAAGGACGGCAATGGGATAGAACAGGAGTCAAGCTATTCTCCAAAGCGCCTGAAGGCAGGACAAGAAGCAATGGATGGAAACTCATCAAGAAGAGAAGCAACCTAGAACTAAGGAGAAACTTCCTGACAGTCAGAACAATTAACCAGTGGAATGACTTGCCTCCAGAAGTTGTGGATGCTCCAACACTGGAAGTTTTTAAGAAGAGACTGGACAGCCATTTGTCTGAAATGGTATAGGGTTTCCTGCCTGAGCATGGGGTTGGATTAGATGACCTCCAAGGTCCCTTCCAACTTTATTATTATTATTATTTCCTTAATTTTCTTTAATCTCAGTTTCAGTTCCTGCACTTAATCACTTTACAAAAAGTGAGGTGTTTAATTTTTTAATGTAATGAATTAAAGTCCAAACATGTTTAATTTTTTTCCAGAAACATATTTTTAACGTGCTCAAAGTTCAAATCCCTTCCTTTGAGTCTGGATTGCAAATTAATCTAGCCCTTGTCCAAGATACTGTGGGGTTTACTGAAGTTGTTGTGCATGCAAAACATGAATTTATTGGGGATAAAAAAAAATCTTGTTTGCTTCCCAGCTGACAAATTTGGCAGATTTAAGAAAGCTAATTGAGACCACCAGGGAAGCCTCTAGGCTGGGGTAGAAGTCAAAAAAAGTATCTCAGGAGGTGAAATTAATAGAAAACTTCCAAGAAAGGTGCCTAGAGAAGTCCATGTAGTAGTCCTCAGGAACTGAGCTCAACTCAAAGGAGACTTTTCTGTAAAATCGTTCGCCTTTGTGTTTTGTTATTTTTCTGCTAGCATTAGCACAACTACTAACTGAAACGTGTACTTTTTCTACTAGACCACGGTTGTCAAACTCGCAATGTCACGTGACGTGTCGCAGCGTATCATGACTTTTTTTCCATTGCCGGCAATGGGGTGGGCACGGTTTTGCCATGACACATCCGGCCGCGGGCTGGCAGTTTGATACCCCTGCACTAGACTAACATTATGTTCAACAAAATGCTTTGTATTTGTTATTTTAAGCGATCTTTAATAACATTTTGGGAGGGTGCAGTGGCCTAGTGGTTAAAATGCTTGTTGACTGGAAGGTTGGAGACCCAAGTAGTGCACGATTGGGTGAGCTCCCGTTACTTGCTCTACCTCCAGCCAACATAGCAGTTCGAAAGCATGCAGATGCGAGTAGATAAATAGGTACCACTTCGGTGGAAAGGTACCAGCATTCTGTGTACCTTTGCCGTATAGTCATGCTGGCCATATGACCACGGAAGTGTCTTCACTGGCTCCCTTGGCTCGGAAACAGAGATGAGCATTGCCCCCCCCCCCTCAGAGTTGGATTTGACTGGACAGGGGAAACCTTTACCTTTAAGAACATTTCACTATTTTTGAGAAAACTGTTGTTGTTCCAGTCTGCCATGTTTGTTTTCTTAAGCTGAAAAGTTATTCTCATATTTAGTAAATGAATGGGTGCTGCGGAAGTCCTGTCACAGGACTATTGTCAGCCAGCAGCTTCGACTACATTGTGAAGATTCAATATTCATGCCTTTTTTGTTCCACTAGTGGTCCTCTTTAAACCAAAAACTCTCGTATACAAACTAACAATAATTGCGTGACGGCTGCCGTGTAAAACCTGACTGCATGTAATTCCCATGTCCGCACTGGGATATTTTGTGGGCACGGACGTTCGCTTTTTTTTAAATTACTTTGCACTGAGTTGTCCTTTGAAGATTGCAAATCCCCCCCCCTTTCCATTTTGCTCACTAACGAAGCCCAGCTACTAAAACCCATTATCCTGTGCATGAGAACACCAGTTTGGCTCAGCTGGTTTGACTCCTTGATTCCGCAGTTCCTTTCCTTCCTGATTCCCTGTTCCACAGCCATGGGCTCAAACTGCCCAGCCGTTCTCGGTCTCTTCCCTGGCTTCCTCAAGCTTGAACCTTGGGCTGTCTTCCTGAGCTGCCAGATTAACCCCTTCTGCCTTTCCTTCTCTCCTCCTTCTGCCTTCTCTCCTAGCCGATTCTTCCACCAGCCTTAACCTTGAGCGCTCAGCTCTTGCTCGGAAGCGGTTTACATTGCAAGGGCTTTCCAACCGCAGAGCTCTACCCAAAGGTAAAACGCCTCTCCAGCTGTCTCCATTCCATTCTGCCATCCGCCATCACCGCTGTGGCTTCATTCCCACATTGTTTGGTTTGTCTCATGCCCACATCCCTTCGTGCACTGCAGTAAGGCTTTCTTTCCGACAGCCATCTCTTCCGTTTTGGCTGGCTGTGCATCCGTGCCTTTCACAGCAGGCTGATACACATGCACGGATCCAACAAGGAGTGTTTCCCCATGCGGGCAGGTAAGCAGTGGAAAAGCTACACCCATTTCAAGCCTGGAATGAAATCAAGACCCCTTTTAGACAATACAGGTAGTCCTCGACTTACAACAGTTTGTTTAGTGACCATTCAAAGTTACTACAGCACTGAAAAAAGTGACTTATGACCGTTTTTCACACTTACGACCCACTGCAGCATCCCCATGGTCACGTGATAAAAATTCAGACCCTTGGCAACTGGTTCATGATGGTTGCAGTGTCCTGGGGTCCTGTGATCCCCTTTTGTGATCCTCTGACAATGGGGAGGCCAGATTCACTTAACAACTGTGTTAGTAACCTAACAGCTGCAGTGATTCACTCAACAACTGAGGCAAAATTGACTGAATTGTTGGACTCAATTGTGACTGTAAGTCGAGGACTATCTGTATTTCTAAAAGGAGTGAAATATGGAGAAATGGACTTCCTGGATGAGCTTAGCTGTAGATAGGCCTCCAGCCGAGACAGTGAACAATATTCTCCGTTCAGTGTAAGGCAACTAAAGGAAGCAGATGTCGTCTGCTCCACTTGTAGACTGTGTTGTTACAATATGTCTTCTTGAATTGTAAAGCTTTGTAAGTCAGGGGTCCCCAACCCCTAGGCCAGGGATAGGCAACCTTGGCTCTTTTATGACTTGTGGACTTCAACTCCCAGAATTCCTGAGCCAGCATGGCTCAGCTTGGAAACCTCTCCCTTTCCCCTCAGCATGGCTGGCTCAGGAATTCTGGGAGTTGAAGTCCACGAGTCATAAAAGAGCCAAGGTTGCCTACCCCTGCCCATTCGGAACCGGGCTGTGCAAGGGGCAGGTGCTCGTGCTTGAAGCTCTACTTGTGCGAATGACGGGCACGCATAGAACCATCCCTTCTTACCCCACCCCTCCCGCCAGTCCACCAAGCTGGAAAGGTTGGGGACCACTGTTGTAAGTCACATCTCTATATGTAACATTGGAGAGCCAGAAAGTCTCATATAGCAAAGTCTCATATGACATGATAGCAGAGTTCCAATATCTCAGGGGCTGCCACAAAGAAGAGGGGGTGAAGCTATTCTCCAAAGCACCTGAAGGCAGGACAAGAAGCAACGGATGGAAACTAATCAAGGAGAGAAGCAACCTAGAACTAAGGAGAAATTTTCTGACAGAACAATTAACTTACCTCCAGAAGTTGTGAGTGCTCCAACACTGGAAGTTTTTAAGAAGAGCCATTTGTCTGAAATGGTATAGGGTTTCCTTTCTGAGTGGGCGGTTGGACTAGATGGCCTCCAAGGTCCCTTCTATTATGATGATGATGATGATGATGATGATGATTGTTATTATCTGTTCATTGCTGGCTATGACCTAATACTGAGATTGATATGAATTTGAACTAGTACAGAACGAGAACCACTAGAAGTTACAACTAAGACTTGATGAGAGAAATTCTAGGATTAGAATAGAGCAACTGAAGAATATAGTTATATTTTCAAACAATAGGAAACAATAGAAATGGAGGGGAACTGGGCTGTATCTTCGAAGTACTCGCAACTTCTTAGAGACAAGAGAACATCCGGATTAAAATCAGTAAAGGAATTAATAAAAAAAAAAACCCTGTTATTGGTGTTTACTAATGTCCAACTAACCAAGAAGAGGATTTAATGGAAGCTTTCCAGCAGCAAAAGAGATATAATTCAAAGTGTAACATAGCAATGATAGGAGATATTGTATTACTTCAACAGCTGCTAGAAAATAAACCTTCCAAATATGGTCCTTTCAGGATATTCCTGACTGTCTCGCCAACATCTTTTTTCTTCAAAGATGGAGGAGATACAAGAGACCTGGCTATTTTTGATTTGGGACTAATCGATAGAGAATATTAAAGATGAAGAAATGAAAATAGCAGGAACATTGAGAGGGCAACCATATAAAGCTGAAATTCTTAAGTGGAACGAAAACTAAAATTAAGTGTGGTTGAAAAACTCTAATTTGGACTTCACAAAATGGATTATAATAAATTCTGACAATTCATTAAGCAGAAAGAGCTAATAGGAGAATATACACAAGATACTCTGTATTCAGACAACACATTTAACTTGGTTATAATTTAGAAATACATTAACCCATAAACTTACCAAACAGTTTGGATTTGCATGATGAATTAAGCCCTCCACCACTTATAAACTAACTACGGCTGAGAACCAAGCATGTGTTCGCTAGATTTTTTTATCAATTATCTTATGGAAACATTACCATATCTGGGCTGTAAAACTCTATATAACCACTAGATGGCAGCAACTAATTCCACATTTAAGGAGCTCATTGCTACCTGTTAGTGAGATTCTGGCGTATTGCAGCTAAGGTTTAGTTGTTCTAGTGAACACTTTTATAGGCAATAAAATGTGTCTTTATTAGTGATTTGGCATCACAGCAATTGGTGGAGATGCTATAAGATATTGTGAATCAAAAATGAGGAAAATTCTACTTGAAGCCCACATCATCCGAAGGGCACGAAGGCTGGGCAGATTTTCTTTCAATTTATTTATTCCTTTTTGCATGTTTTTACCTCATCTTTAACCTGCATCTATCTGCTCTCCCAGATCCAGACTCTAAAGAGAGAGATGTTCCCCGTCGCTTTTCCTTAGCTTCCTCCATCAACAACACAACTAACACATCTTCTCTAACCAAAGGTATGGACACACTAACCCGTTAGCTGCTTAACTTCCTCTACATACATTGCTGCAAATACTGTGAAAATTATAAGCAGAGCCAGTGTCCCGCCTTGTAAGGCAGAGAAATGGGTTACTGTAGTAGCAAGAGTTTTATTTCCTGACAGTGAGAACAATTAACCAGTGGAACAACCTGCCTCCAGAAGTGGTGAATGGTCCAACACTGGAAGTTTTTAAGAAGAGATTGGACAGCCATTTGTCCGAAATGGTATAGGGTTTCCTGCCTGAGCAGGGGGTTGGACTAGATGACCCCCAAGGTCCCTTCCAACCTTATTATTGTTATTGTTATTTATTATTATTATTATTATTATTATTATTATTATTATTATTATTACTACTACTACTATTACTTGGGGACCCCTGCATTAAATGATTCAGGTGCAGAAGACCAAGTCAGGATGGGGAGAAAGCTGGCAGTTTATGGGAGTCATTGGGTGGGTATAAAGTCTCCTGCCTTGAGCAGGGGGTTGGACTAGATGACCTCCAAGGTCTCTTCCAACTCTGTTGTTGTTGTTGTTATCTTTTATTCATTAGACATGAATCTCAGTCAACTGAACATTCAAATTTAATAATAATAATAATATAATAATAATAATAATGATAATGGCATAACACTGCCAACTGTGTAGTTGCACCAGCAGATTAATACTCCAATGAAGCAACTCTATTTGCTAAACAACTAGTCTTTGACTTACAACTACAACCGGAACCAGATTATTTTGTTGCTAAGCATGACGCTTGTTAAGTGAGCTGTGTCCTTTTTGCCACAGTTGTCCCAAAGATGCTTTTTTTTTCACGAGACAACTGGACTGTCTTCTTTTTCTTTGAAGACCTTTCACTTCTCACCCAAGACAGCAAAGTCCACATTTTGGACAGGGAGGACCGCTGGTTTGAAAAGGGTCAAACAGGTCATCTATTCTGTGTCAAAACTGAACAGACCTCCCTCAACAGAGGGGGAGGGATACGATATCATTGATCTCCAGCCTACAACTCCTTTAAGCAGTTCCAAGAAGGCTCCACACCCATTTGCACCACTCAGGTGACCCTGAGGACACACCTCCAAGTGGCCTCAACGACTCTTTCAAAGAATGCAAATAACTAGCTGTCTGCAAGGAGTATAAATCCTTCCATTCCCCACCATCCAGTCAGAGCTGATGAAGCTTCTTGGATGAGAAGCGAAACGTCTTCAGAGGAAAACAAGAAAGTCCAGTTGCCTCCTAAAAAAAGCATCTGTGGGACAACCATGACCTGGATGACGGGAGAATCTCCATATAGACATTTTACCCCAGTTATTAAGTGAATCGCTGCAATGTGGTTGTTAAGCAAATCTGACTTTCCCCATTGGCTTGCTTCTGGGAAGCCTCCTAAAACGGTCACAAATAGCAACCACACGACTGACCGTTGTAAACACATGCCTGTTGCCAAGTGTCCGAATTTTGATCACATGACCGTGGGAATGCTCTGGTAGTTGTAAATGCAAGGTTGCATGTCGCTTCTTACTATGTGTTTTAACGTCGAACGGTCACTGAACAAATGGATGTAAGTCGAGGACTACCTGTAATGCTGTGATATGATCTTCCGATACGAATCAAGTCTGGGAGAAAAGAGAGCAACTCTTTGATTTTGATGCAGAATCCTGTATTTGCACAGTGTTGATTGGTTGGGTCTTATGACAGTCGTAAGAGTACAGAGAAGAGCAACAAAGATGATTAGGGGACTGGAGGCTAAAACATATAAGGAACGGTTGCTAGAATTGGGTATGTCTAGTTTAACGAAGAGAAGGACGAGGGGGGACATGATAGCAGTATTCCAGTATCTCAGGGGCTGCCACAAAGAAGAGGGAGTCAAGCTATTTTCCAAAGCCCCTGAAGGCAAGACAAGAAGCAACAGGTGGAAACTAATCAAGGAGAGAAGCAACCTAGAACTGAGGAGAAACTTCCTGACAGTGAGAACAATTAACCAGTGGAACAGCCTGCCTCCAGAAGCAGTAAATGCTCCAACACTGAAAGTTTTTAAGAAGAGACTGGACAGCCACTTGTCCGAAATGGTGTAAGGTTTCCTGCCCGAGCAGGGGGTTGGACTAGATGACCTCCAAGGTCCCTTTCAACTTTACTACTATTACTATTACTATAATGCTTCCTCCTCCAGAACTCAGCTTTGCAAATGGTTGATCCGTTTTCTATGCCACTCCCGCCTCTTGTGATATGTCAGTCAGTTAGAAAAGCCAAAGGAAAGTGGCACCGTAAGCCTACCAATTAATATTCTAGATACACAGAAAGGCAATGAAGCTACAGTATTACAATCCAGCTTTGTAATACTGTATGGAAAACCTTTGGATTTCCAAAATATTAGTTTCTCCTGGAAACCTATGATTCAGTTTCTATCATGATATTCAGCCTGTTATCAATGCTTAACTGAGTTTAATGGGTCTCTGAAGTTAAGTGGGGTCAGCCTGGTTAACCCTTGGATGGGAAAGTTCCAGAAAACACCAGGGCTGTTAGCTAGACTGGGAAATAAAAAACGCATCCTAGAACAGATATGTCAAACACAAGACCCGCAGGACTCAGCAGCCCGCGCACCACAGGTGGGTCCGAGCACCGCAACCACTGGGCCGGCTCTCCAACACCAGGTGGAGGCAGAGGCGTGGGGGGAGGCACGCGATCCAGCCTGCTGGATGCACCTGGCGGCTGTGCAGCCTTCTTCCCCATCCCAGCCATGGTAGCAAAGACAGATGGGGCTGTGGCTATCCGGCCCAGCCTGTCTCTGCCATACCACAGCCCCTTGCATGCTCAGCCCCCGTTGTCCAACCTCTTCTTCCAGCGAGCGCCCGGGGAGCTCAAGGGCCGACCAGGGCATCTGCTGCTGTCCAGGGGCTCCCCGCGTGGTCCGAGAGGGTTGGCGAGGCTCCTCCAGTGGATCAGACCCCAGCACCATCTTGGTCATGACTCCCATCTCCAGACAACCCTGGATCCCCCCCCAGGCCCCCAGGCGCCCCCCAACACAGGCGATGTCAAGCTGGCCACGCCCATCCAGTCGGCTGTGACCTTCCGGCCACACCCACCCGGTTTTTTTCAGAAGAGTTGCTGAGATAATTGCATGAAATTACCAGGTGTGAGATGGATGCAGTTAACCAAGAGCTGAGTTTGACTTAAGGACATCTTTACCATCTTAGGTTATATCTGATTAGAAACATGATAATGCAATATATTATATGTGAACAAACTTTAATGCAGGGGTCCTCAAACTTGGCCCTTTTATGAGTTGTGGACTTCAACTCCCAGAATTCCTCAGCCAGGCACGCTGGCTGAGGAATTCTGGGAGTTGAAGTCCACAAGTCATAAAAGGGCCAAGTTTGAAGACCCCTGCTTTAATGGCTAAGGGGAAAAAAAAACAACTAAGGGGAAATGTAATATTTGTCAATACAAAATGTGTTCTTACAGTCAACATAATAGTAGAGGCCCTGTTGTCCTACCCATCTTTAGTTTCAGTTGTCTACCATCAAAGAGAATACAGGGACAGAGTTTCACTGTTAGTTGATTAAAGTTTCATGCAAACAGAAACTTATATATATGGGCACGAAATGTAATAATTCTTAAAACATTAAGACAGTGGTTCTCAACCTTTCTAATGCCGTGACCCCATAATACAGTTCCCCATGTTGTGGTGACCCCCAAGTGGGTGTGGCCACCAATAAGAGGGATTAGGACAGCTAGGGAAAAGGGAAAAAAATGGCGGACAGCATGGTTTGGTGACCCCCGTGAAATGGTCATTCGACCCCAAATGGGGTCCCGACCCACTGGTTGAGAACCACTGCATTAAGAGAAGAGATCTAGAGCAGGGCTTTTCAACCTTTCACCCATTGTACCACTTTTAGGATATGGCAACATCCAAGTACCACCAGTCGCCTAGCAAGGTGTGAAAAACTTGATGACCAAAAAAAAAAAAAAAAAGGAAAAAAGTGATAAAGTACAGGTAGTCCTCGACTTACAACAGTTCACTTAGTGACTGTTCGAAGTTACAATGGCACTGGAAAAAAGTGCCCCCCAAGCCATAGCCGAGCAAGACACCTGCCTGCCCACCCGGTGGCGCTCTTCCTCCTGTCCAAGGCTTTCATTGTTGTGAGCATTTCTGTTGAGGATTGGCATCGGGGGTGGGGTTGGGGGGTGTTTGGTTTTTATTCCCCCCGTCTGCTGGGTGGTTGCAGCAGGTTCTGGTCACTTCACATGACCCTGGGACACTGTGACCGTCATAAATATGAATCAGTTGCCAAGCATCTGAATGTAAATCACAAGACCCTGGAGATGCTGCAACATTCCAGCTGATCGACGCTTCTTCTGGGCTCAGCAGAAGCACCAGGATCAGTGCTGCTTTTCAGCTGATTGGTGCTTCTTCAGGGCTCAGCAGAAGCACCAGGATCAGCACCGAGCTCCAGCTGGAGCCTGGCACTTCCGCTGAGCCCTGACAGCCCCAAAGAAGCGCCGATCAGCTGGAAAGTGGCACTGATCCTGGCGCTTCTGCTGAGCCTGGCAGCCCTGCAGCTCCATCCATCTCTCACTCAGGCTTGTGTGGTGCTGCCACTGGTTCAGCTCATTCCCCTCCCCTGCTCCCACTTTTCTAGGATGGTTGCGTACCACCTGCCAGGTGCCAATGTACCACAAGTGGTACCCGTACCACTGGTTGAAAAGCCCTGATCTAGAGATCTGGGCCCAAGTCCCTTGGTAGGAATCCTATAGTTCTTTTGATAAGCAGAAATAATTTATAAAAACAAGCCACTGAGTGGTTTGTTGCTGCTCTCACAAAATATTTCTTCCATCGACTGCTAAACCCTTTGCCATGCCAAGCGAGCAGGTCTGGCATCTAACTGTATTTCCATTCTGTCTCTCTGCAAATTTCACACAGGTCCCCTTGTTCCTGGGGTTAAAGTCAAGAGGCATGAAATCAAAAGTGACCCAACTCCTCTAGGTTTTGAAGGTACAGCTCCTGAGTTCATGCATGCATGCTGTTGACTTGTAGATTGTCCTTTCTCACATCACCACTAACATTTCAAACCATTCTCTGAAACACCGTATTGGATGAGATTTGTTGATTGTCAGTTGATGTGTTTTACCTGTTGTATCTATCGCTGAAGACTCAAAGGTGTTTTCTCAAGAGTGCAGAGAAGAACAACAAAGATGATCAGGGGACTGGAGGCTAAAACATATAAGGAACAGCTGCTGGAATTGGGTATGTCTAGTTTAATGAAGAGAAGGACGAGGGTGGACATGATAGCAGTGTTCCAATATCTCAGGGGTTGCCACAAAGAAGAGGGAGTCAATCTATTCTCCAAAGGACCTGAAGGCAGGACAAGAAGCAATGGGTGGAAACTGATCAAAGAGAGAAGCAACCTAGAACTAAGGATAAATGTCCTGAAAGTTAGAACAATTAACCAGTGGAACAACCTGCCTCCAGAAGTTGTGAATGCTCCAACACTGGAAATTTTTAAGAAGAGACTGGACAACCATTTGTCTGAAATGGTATAGAGTTTCCTGCCTGATCAGGGGGTTGGACTAGAAGATCTCCAAGGTCCCTTCCCACAACAACAACAACTTCTTCTTCTTCTTCTTCTTCTTCTTCTTCTTCTTCTTCTTCTTCTTCTTCTTCTTCTTCTTCTTCTTCTTATTATTATTATTATTATTATTATTATTATTATTATTATTATTATTATTATTATTATTATAATCATCCAACTGGACTTTCTTTGTTTTTCCCTAAGTGAGCATATCAATTAGTTAAATTTATGGGTTTTTTAAAAAAAGCAATCACATTTCTTCTTGTGCGGTCTCCATATCTCTCATTGTTTTGACATAAAACCCTGTAATGACATGATCAAAAGCAGCCTTAGCCTAAAAGAAATATCTACTTTTGTTCGTGGTTCAATTCATTCTACTTTTATCTGTTCCTAATCTTCTCCATCCGTCATATTTGAATGAATACAGCTCTGTCCTCATTTGTCTTTGAGATTGCTAACTCCTGGTGATTTTGACCGCGTGCTTCCCCTGTCTGATTTGAGTAGGGCCAATCTTTTTACCTGTGCTGTGGTTGATTAATGCTCATCTTGTTTAATTTGCTAGTCAGTAATCAGGCTACATGTGTTGGCAGTCTTTTGATTACATATCATCAGATATAAAACGGAAATAATTCTGAGGAACCTGATTGATTCTAAATGGTGCCCTATTGGACTGCACTTTTGGACTGCATGCTTTCCACATCCAAATAACATTGGCATCTAACCTCTGACATGCTCTATATTCTCTTTTAAAGCCAAAAATGTAAAATTACAGCATTCACTTAGCGTGGAAGAGCGTAGATCAGTGGTTCTCAACCTGTGGGTCGGGACCCCATTTGGGGTCGAATGACCATTTCACCGGGGTCGCCAAACCACGCTGTCCGCCATTTTTTTCCCTTTTCCCTAGCTGTCCTACTCCCTCTTATTGGTGGCCACACCCACTTGGGGGTCACCACAACATGGGGAACTGTATTATGGGGTCACGGCATTAGAAAGGTTGAGAACCACTGGCGTAGATATAAAATTACTTTCGGCATAGGAGAGTTTTAATATCACTACTCCCTCTAGTGGTAGGAAAGTTCTGCTGGTGACACCTCAAGTTATCCATGAAAATGTCAAGTGCCTTTCTCAAGTCTGTCCCTCTAGAACAGTGGTTCTCAACCTTTTTAATGCCGTGACCCCCAACCGATCATAAGTTGAGGACTACTCAACCAGTCGTAAGTCGAGGACTACTCAACTGGTGCAGCACCGTTTGCAGAATGGGACTTTTGGCGGGCTCAGCAGGGCAGAGACAGCTTGGACAATTCCTATTGGCTTTTGAAAGCCAATAGAATTAGACTCTATTCAAGAGAGTCTATTCTATTGGCTTTCAAAAGCCAATAGAATAAAAGGGAGTAGCACAGCTAAGGAAAAGGGAAAAAAATGGCAGACAGCCTTGTTTGGCGACCCCCTTGAAATGGTTGTTCGACCCCAAATGGGGTCCCGACCCACAGGTTGAGAACCACTGCTCTAGAATCTCAGTGTTTCTCAACCTTGACAATTTTAAGGCATGTGGACTTCAACTCCCAGAATTCAACAGCCAGCAATGCTGGCTGTGGAATTCTGGGAGTTGAAGTCCACATGCCTTAAAATTGTCAAGGTTGAGAAACACTGCTCTAGATTTTTTGCGACGCCTGGCCTCTCCGTAGTTTGACTTAGCCATGGCACCATTTCCAGACAAGAGGAGTAAGTAGTCCTGAAGTTGCCTGTTTTCCTTAACACAATCTTTGAAATTTGTCAAGGAAGGTTTGCATGCTCACCATTTCATCTTTTAAGATGGATGCCAACCAGCATTTTTAAAAGTATAGAATACTCTGCTTCCTATCCCAGATGCCTTTGAAAACACCTTCTTGGCTCAAGCTAACTCCAACGCTGTTTCCTCTACAAGAATGGTACCCAGATCAGCTTCACAGACAGGTAAAAAGAAATCAGAGTATTCTTTTTAAGATCAGATGTGCATGCTATTAAGAACATCTTTGGTGTGTGGGGGGGGGGAAGATCTGGTACAGAGGAAATTTATCTGGGTTAGCCCCATGAAATGGACTGGAACTCGTTTACACAAGAAGAAGCCTTCGTTTCTTAGATGTGCTCTCAGCACTTGACGGGGGTTGTGCCAGAAGCCTCCAGATTGATTAAAGCATGAAAATCATTTTTATTTCCTATTGACCATCTAAACTCTCTTTTCTACCATCGACTTCAGTTGTATTCTATTTATCCTTCCTTTTTTTTCTCTCCCCACTTTGAAAATCATAAACTCTTCAGAGTGTTGATTTATCTGTGTCGCTTCATGAGTCCAGTTGATTCCTGGTGACTTCATGAATTCCATGCAGTTTTCTTGACAATGCTGTTGAAATAGTTTGCTATTGTTTTCTTCTGGAATGTTTTTTTCTAACTTCCCAGTGTTGCTCACAGCCTCTGGGATCCTCTGAGGTCTCCCATCCAAATATTAACAACTGGCTAAACCCAAGAAAGTTCAAGCAGAGGTTGTCATTTTCAGAATACACCTCATGCATTGCTGATATTCTCATTATGCTGTCATGATTAAAAGACGCCAGTTGCTTGAGTCCTACCACCATGAGTCGGAGTGAGCTCCCATCACTTGCCTGAGCTTCTGCCAACCTAGCAGTTTGAAAGCATGTAAATGCAAGTAGATAAATAGGTACCACTTCAGTGGGAAGATAACAGTGTTCTGTATTCCACCATATGCTTTGTGCTGCAGCATGATGATATGCTAGCCACATGACTGCGGAAATGTCTGAACAGTGCTGGCTCAATGGCTTAAAGAAACAGAGATGAGAACTGCCCCCTAAAGTTGGCTACGACTAGTGAAATAAAACCTACAGGGACACCTTTATGTTTTGTCACGATTATGACTTTCAGAAGAAATACCTGTTTTGATTCAGACACAAGGCCTTCAATAAGGTGATGTTCTCCAGGTGTGTTTAACTGCCTGACTGAGTCAATACAGGATGGGACACAACTCCACTTTTAAATCATCTCCTCTTCCAAAAATTCCTAAATATTATATGTCACATGTTTTAGAAGCTGGCTGACAAATCAACTGTCTAACTTTGATGAACTGGTGTTGGTTTTTTTTAAAAAAAAAAAATCTTCTAAACAAAAGCAACAAATTAGCACTATATAAGATCTCTACGTTCTCTATTATTTTTAAAGTGAAGAGGCTATTATGACATTTACCTTGCTATAATTTTGTTCTGCATCGCTTCTTTTCTTGTGTTCGTCTTTCTTTTCTTTCAGTTTTTAGTTCAGATAATCTTATAATTTGATGGCTAGAAATCAAACAGGTAATTAAAATGTGGTGTAAATTGTGGGAATATAAAATATATTTCAATGGGTTGTTTAAAAAAAAGTGAATTTATCCTTGGCGGAAAATGAACAGAATCTGTTCCCTTTTAATAAACTGGGATGCATTTTGTCACCTCAAGGCCTTCTGGCAATAGGAATTGTCTCCAAAGTTCTCCGTTGATTTGCATTCCAATGTTTTTTTGACATCTTTATCAAGAGAAAGATTCAGTTGGCTTCTTTCCATTTCCTTGACACATGAATAAACTTAATCTGCCACCTATATAATCTGTGAGGAAAAGGATTTGTATCGTTCACCAAAATAGCTGCTAAATCAATCTAGAAATAGTGCCCCTTGTTAACAATATTACTCAGGCGATAGGCAGTTTGAATTTTTTGTGAGTGCAAATGAGTCATAGCTTTCCTCCCACGAAAATGATATTATTTTGTGCTCCTCTGATTCTACAAGTAAGCCTTGAGTAAGACATCGTCACTTTGGATGCTTTTGTGCAAATGAGTGTGCAGACTAAGAATGCTGTGATTCAAAATGTTGGTTACTGGCAATCAACACACAGTATACCGTGTCAACAGACAGGCCTTCTTTTGCAGGGCTTCTCGGCTGTAGGATACACTTCCTAATCCTCTCCACCCATTGTTGGGAAAGATCACCCCCCCCCCCAAAAAAAACAGATCTTCCACTGAGATACTAATTTCTCTTATCTCAATGTTATAATTGAATTCTGATTTGAATTATATTAAGATTGGGTCAATTGATATTTTGTAGTGTATGGTGATTAAGGTGCTGGCCTAGAAACCTGGAGACTTGAGTTCTAGTCCTGCCTTAGGCATGAAAGCTGGCTGGGCGACTTTGGGCCAATCACCAGAAGACTGAGAGTTCTAGTCCCGCCTTTGGCATGTAAGCCAGCTGGGTGACTTTAGGCCAATCACCAGGAGACTGGGAGTTCTAGTCCCGCCTTTGGCATGTAAGCCAGCTGGGTGACTTTAGGCCAATCACCAGGAGACTGGGAGTTCTAGTCCCGCCTTTGGCATGTAAGCTAGCTGGGTGACTTTGGACCAATCATTAGGAGACTGGGAATTTCAGCCCCGCCTTGGACACAAAAGCCAGCTGGGTGACTTTAGGACAGTCACTTTCTCTCAGCCCAACCCACCTCACATGGTTATTGTGGGGAAAATAGGAGGCGGAACAAGTATCATACATTATACTTTAAGTTGCTTATAAAATAATAAAGGCAGGATTTTTAAAAAATCTAATAAATAAATAAACCCACCTTGGCTGTGGAAGAAACAGGCTAGAAATTAAGTCAGTCAATTATTTAAAAAAGGTGAAAAGCCAAAAAATGTCCACTGGGAAAGACATTTCACTTCCTTTTATGATAGAGAATACCTTATCCTCTGGATTCATCCCTTCCTGATTTGCATGGACAGAAGCTCTCATTTTTTTAATTGTTGGGTTTTAAGGCTTGTGCATCAGCCAGAGTCACTGCTGTGACACGGGCAACCATAGGAATTATTTCAGTAAAGAAAGAATCAAATTACTTTCATAAATGAATGCATATTATTAAGCACCCCTAGAGTCAGAGGAGAACGTTGGCTAATCTCGTTCATCAAGAATGGAAGAAATAAAAACAGGAATGTAGCCAGACTTAGACACTAAGGCTGAGCAGCACAGAAACCCCAGCAGCAACCCAAGAAGCTCTGAGCAACACAAGGCATGCAAGACTGATTTGGGGAATTGAATTTGGGGCTGCAGTTATCGTTATTTTTACAAGACTCCTTCTATCTTATCTAAAACACAACAGGAGACAATGCCAACTGTTGTGTTTTGTTTTTTAATGAAGGTTGGCCTAGCAGACAGATGCCATCGCTAGATACATTTGAAGACTTTGAAGCCATTCCATCCAGCACTGAGGACCTCTCAAACTCTTCAGATCTGGAGGAATACAGCCACCCTTCCAATGTAGGTAACATCCTTCTGACCGTCGCGCAAGGTCTAGACCAGGGGTCTTCAAACTTAGCAACTTTAAGACTTGTGGACTCAGCCCTAGTTGGCTGAGGAACTCTGGGAGTTGAAGTCCACAAGTCTTAAAGTTGCCAAGTTTGGAGACCCCAGATCTAGACATGTCAGAAAAACTAGTTTTGCACACTCAGTGCTACAGGGCTGTTTCCAAGATCATTTTGGGTTGGGTACTTCAGGGACTTTTATTAATAGAGGCAGTTCTCGCTTTCACTGGAAAAAGCAATTATGTTTGGAAGAGTTAGCGGTAAAAGGAAAGTAGGCCGCCAAAAAACACAGTGGTTGGACACCAGCAAATATTCTTATATAAGGTGACCAACATTTTTACAATAAAAAGGAGGACACAAATAAATTGAAGAAAAAAATATCGTAAAAGCTGGCCTGGCCCATGGAAGGTTGACCGCCCCCCGCCCATAGCCACCCTGCCAGCACCGCTGCCCTGCCGTGTAGAGCAGGTCCCACGGCTCCCAAAGCACCAGCCGCACCGGCTCCAGGGGGCATCCTGCTGTCGACACACCCCGCCTGCAGCCGCCCCGGCAGTACCTCTGCCCACCCTGCGCAGCCCCGTGTAGAGAGGGCCCCGCGGCTCCCACAGCACGGGGGGCAGCTGGCCGCTGCCGCCCCTCACACCCCCGCCACCCCTGCCTCTGGTGCCCACAGCCATTATTGCCCTAGCAGAGCCGAAGATCAAGAGAAACTGACCGCTCCAGTCTCCTCCAGGTATCTTCGGAACTAACTAGGAGATGGTGTCGTTGGGTAGCAGGGAGGGGTGCAAAGTTCCTGCCAATTCGCCTTTACTGCAGACAACTTACATGTGCAAAGTTTGCCGGCCGGGTGTTTTGGTGCGCTCAGCAGCAATTCCTATTGGCTTTCGAAAGCCAATAGGGGGAGTAGCACAGCTCATGCAAAAGTTGAAAAAAAAAACCATCCAAAAAAGGTGTCAGAACACCGTTCTGAGCGTTCTATGAGAAAAAAAAAGCCCTGCAGATTAGTCTTCAAATATCAAAAAGGAGGACATGTAGGAGGAAACTTTTTGAGGGAGGACAGAACTCACAAAAGGAGGACTGTCCTCCCTAAAGGAGGACGATTGGTCACCTTATTCTTATAGTCCCTTCTATTTTTCTTATATTAATGAACATTTGCAGTGCAACAATAAAATACCACTGGCTACTTTTGGGAATAATGATCTGTGGCTTGGTTTTATTCATTTTTAGGGATCAAATCTATACCGGGTAGAAGGAAGCTTTGACACCTGTTTCCCAGACTCTCTTACTTTGGAGGAGGGAGATCTAGTGGAGTTTATTCAAGAAGGAGAGAATGGGCAATGGTAAGTAAATGGCACACCTGCTCGTAGAATTTTTAAATCATAATTAAAAGGGAAAAAGTACTTTCCTCTGGGTTCTTGGCTGAATCTTGGAAAAAACACAAATTGAAAGAGAAGGTAGGAAGGAATGATTATTTTATCTGGAAGAAAAGTTTCTTTAATGATATTAGATGAATTTATCATTAATTTTGGACGTGTCTCTGAACATTTCCCAACCTCTGATTGCTTTCTGCAACAAGTATTTTTATGTGGACTAACTTTATAATCCTATATAACTCAGAAAGATTGCATGCTATACAGTACCAGCAGTGGGTGACGTGTTTAAAAAAAAAAGGAAATTGTTTTTTCTTCTTCTCTAAACTCAGGTTAGTAAAGAAGCTAGTTTCGGAAAAAACAGACTGGATACCTTCCAGTCTGTTACAACCAGCAGAAGCTGAAGCCAACAGCACTTGTAGAATCAGCAATTCAGGTAACCCATAGGAAAGTTTGAAAAGTTTTATATTTCTTATTTAATTGTGAGCACTCGACTTCCTATGCAGTAAAAAATTCTGGCATATTGTTTCTTGGGGAAGGCAGAACATTGGTGACTGGACTATTCTTATCATATTAATGTGCTTATTATCCCCAAACTGAGGGGATACATATAGGCACCTCAAATTAACAAACTAGTAGCAACATCTGTAAGCCACAGAGCTTTCCTCATTCATCCTCATCCAGGTCCCCTCAACAAAATTGCTTTTTGAAGCCAAATCCAAAATCTTAACCTGTCTTGCCATCTTCACTCAATAATCTATCGTTTTCAAATTCTACCTTCCAAGTTAATAGACCTAAAATGTCCTTCAGCTTTTTGGAGAAGTAAATTATGTTGGTAGACCTTTACTAATCATGAAGAACATGTAAGGATTTAAGAAAGGAAGGTACAGAACTCTTTCGCTGCAGGTGAGATACGAATGGGAGGGAAGAAAGAGGCAATGCGATGGAATATTAATGAAAAATGCAACTTTATGCAGGTAGTCCTTGACTTACAACTGCAGGCCACTTTAGCTGACTGTGTTCAGCAGGTCAGCGGTTCAAATCTCACCGGCTCAAGGTTGACTCAGCCTTCCATCCTTCCGGGGTAGGTAAAATGAGGACCCAGATTGTTGGGGGCAATGTAAATATATATATATACATTGCTTACTGGTGTACACCGCTTAGAGAGTGCTTGCATTTAAAGCGGTATATAAGTCTCATAAATAAATAAATTCATTTAATGAAACGAACAGCACTGAAAAAAGTGACTTATGATCATTTCCCAGCCTTATGACCTTTACAGCAAGCCCATGGCCATGTGATCAGAATTCAGATGCTTGGCAACAGGTTCATATTTACGACTATTGCAGTGTCCTGGGATCATGCGATCCCCTTTTGTGACTTTCTACAAAATCAGTCGGGAAGCTAGATTCACTAAACAACTGTGTTACCAACTTAACAGCTGCAGTGATTCACTTAACAAAATTGACAAGAAAGGTCATACAATGGGGCAAAGCCCACTTAACAACTGTCTGACTCAGCAACATAATTTTTGAGCTCAGTTGTGGTTGTAAGTCAAGGACTACCTGTCTTGTGAGCGTCTTTCAGTTGAAGAAGAATTTCAAGATTGTGTTTTGGTGATTTATTATCTAGAACAGTGTTTCTCAACCTTGACCATTTTAAGGCATGTGGACTTCAACTCCCAGAATTCCACAGCCAGCAATGCTGGCTGTGGAATTCTGGGAGTTGAAGTCCACATGCCTTAAAATGGTCAAGGTTGAGAAACACTGATCTAGAAGGAATCTCTGGCAGAAAATTGACACCAGGGACAGCTTCCACATAGGTGTCTTTAAAAATTAAATCAGTATTATTGATACTGTTGGTGCATTCCCTTTCCAGATGTCTACAGCGATACCCACAGCTCTGCATCCACAAACTCAGATATGAAGGTGGGAGAGCTGAACAGAAGCTTAACAGCTGGACAGAAAGCTGGAAGCTGAGCAGACCAGGGAACATCTCCTCAGGGCTCAATCTTCTCTGTTTACCTGCAGATGCTGGACCAAATTGCCTTTTCCCAAAACTCCGGATTTCACAATTCAATATTTTGTCAACGTGAAATAGATTAAAAGAAAATTAAAAAAAAAAAGAAGTCTTGCCGAGCTAGTAAATTTCAAAATACGTTAAACTTCAAAGATGTCCGAGTTACCTTAGTATTCGACAAAAGACACCCATTGTATGCTTTTCTTTTTGCACTGCATTTCTGAACGTCGAAAGTAGGCTCAATTAGATGGACAACAACAGATCGTTATACACCCACAGCCTCGGGGCGGGAGTGCTGGATTCTTGAAACTCGGATCACCAACGATCCTCAAGATGATGATGCTCTGTTGGGCGGAATGCCTTGCGTTCCTTCGCCAGTTTGGATCAGCTGCCCGGCCAGCTTTCCGTGGCTCGATCTACTTACGTGGCTATTATTTCAAGACAATCAGAAACAGGGCAGGGCCAAAAAGAGGAAGCTGAGCAACAATGAAGAAAGTGCAATTCCTGAAGCTGAGCCAAAGGTTACACTTTTGCACCAACAGCGAAAGGTGTAACTCGCTTTGGGTTATGTGTAATCTTTTTGTCTACAGGGTGTTTTGGATGCTAACCGGAAGCAAATAAGTAGCTTGAAACTCCAAAAAGGGGACGAGGAAAGGGCTTTCATGAAGGCAATTATGGGATGTGGCATCAACAAAGCAGCTTTGTCCCCTCCAGAGGTTTTGCATCCAATGCTGAGAGTTCTGTCTAATGCTGCATTTCAGTGTTTTACACTTGTGTAGAATGCATTCGGGCATTTTCTTATGCTGGGCTCTGGATTAGAATACAGAGTTCCTTCCCCATCTCACCCCACCCCAATATTTAATGCACCCCAGATAATGTTTCCCCTCCCCCCAACATTGAGGTACTTGCAAAGGGAATGATTGCTAAGGAGAATATGTTGTCTTTTGAAAGTTTCTGGTCATATTTTAGGGCGGGGGGAAAGCATTGCAGCCGTCTGAACAATATCATGAGTTGCCATAGGCATACAATGAAATCAGCCTGGTCCACTTTAAAGCTTCAGAGGCTGTCATCTTGCTTGAAGAATACAGAACAATAGAGTTGGCAGGGGCCTTCGAGGTCTTCTAGTCCAACCCCCTATAGAGGACTCTATCCAGTGTTTCTCAATCTTGGCTGGCTGTAGAATTCTGGGAATTGAAGTCCACACATCTTCAAGCAGCCAAGGTTGAGAAAAATGGCTGTCCGACCTCTTCTTGAAAACCTCCAGTTTTTCATTTAAACCTCTAGGCCAGGGGTCTTCAAACTTGGCCCTTTTATGACTTGTGGACCTCAACTCCCAGAATTCCTCAGTCAGCGTGCTTGGCTGAAGAATTCTGGGAGTTGAAGTCCACAAGTCATAAAAGGGCCAAGTTTGAAGACCCTTGCTCTAGGCCAGACATGTCAAACTCACAACGTCCTGTGACGTAGTGCATATCGGAGCTTTTTCCCCATTGCCGGCAATGGGGTGGACGCAGTTTCCCGGTGACGCGTCCGGTGTGGGCCAGCAGTTTGACACCCCTGCTCTAGGCATTGCAGTTTGCAGAATTCAAGGCACGTGTCAGCACCAGAGGGAGGAAATTACATGTGAAAGTGTTTTATATGAAGACTTTAGTTTGACGGCAAAGGGGAAAATTAGGTTCTACAAATCAGCTGGTAGCGTCATGTTCAAAACATTTTTTTTAAACATAGGAGTGGGGTGACTTGAGTCTGGTCAATCAAGAGAAATGCAAAGATTCTTATCCAATCTTGGAATGTGACAACCCCACATAATCTGAAAGTTGCGTTTCTGGGCTCTTAGCAATGGCCCAAGCGATGTGCCTTTCAGATTGCATGCCTCTTGATAGGTTTGGCTGATTGTGGAATCCCACCATAAACGCTCAAGAACTTCCCTGGAATAATGCTTTGTCCTACAAGGCTATGCTGAAACGTTAGGCCATTTTCCTGCTAACAAAATAATAGAGTTGGAAGGGACCTTGGTGGTCTTCTAGTCCAACCCCCTGCTCAAGTAGGAAACCCTATACCGTTTCAGAAAAATGGTTGTCCAATTTCTTCTTAACATTTTCCAATGTTGGAGCACCCATAACTTCTGGAGGCAACTCCTTCCACTGCTTAACTGTTCTCACTGTCAGGAAATTTCTCCTTAGTTCTAGGTTGCTTCCCTCTTTGATTATTTTCTCAAGTCACTCATGCCCTAATCACCTCATATCTTGATTATTACGATGTGCTCTACATGGGGCTGCCTTTGAACAGGGCTTTTCAACCTTTTCACCCATTGTACCACTTTTAGGATATGACAACATCCGAGGACCACCAGTCGCCTAGCAAGGTGTCAAAAACTTGATGACCAACAAAAAAAAAAGGAAAAAAGTGATAAAGTACAGGTAGTCCTCGACTTACAACAGTTCTCTTAGTGACTGTTCGAAGTTACAATGGCACTGAAAAAGTACCCCCCAAGCCACAGCCGAGCAAGACACCGCCCTGCCCACCTGGTGGCGCTCTTCCTCCTGTCCGAGGTTTTCATTGTTGTGAGCATTTCTGTTGAAGATTGGCAGTGGGGGTGGGGTGGGGGTGTTTGGTTTTTATTCCCCCCGTCTGCTGGTGGTTGCAGCAGTTTTGGTCACTTCACATGACCCTCGGACACTGTGACTGTCATAAATATGAATCAGTTGCCAAGCATCTGAATGTAAATCACAAGACCCTGGAGATGCTGCAACATTCCAGCTGGTCGGGGCTTCTGGGCTCAGCAGAAGCACCAGGGTCAGTGCTGCTTTCCAGCTGATTGGTGCTTCTTCAGGGCTCAGCAGAAGCACCAGGATCAACACCGAGCTCCAGCTGGAGGCTGGCGCTTCCACTGAGCCCTGACAGCCCTGAAGAAGCGCCGAACAGCTTGAAAGCAGCACTGATCCTGGTGCTTCCGCTGAGCCCTGACAGCCCTGCAGCTTCAGCCATCTCTTGCTCAGGCTTGTGCGATGCTGCCACTGATTCAGCTCATTCTCCTCCCCCACTACCACTTTTCTAGGATGGTCATGTACCACCTGCCAGGTGCCAATGTACCACAGGTGGTACCCATACCACTGGTTGAAAAGCCCTGCGTTTGAAAACTACTGACTACCCCATAGCTGCTGCTTCAGAATAACAGAGATGGAAGGGGCCTTGAAGGTGTTCTAGTCCAATCCTCTGTTGGAGCAGGAAACCCTATACCAGTGATGGCGAACCTTTTAGAGACCGAGTGCCCAAAAACTGGCCCCGCCCACTCCACCCCCTGCCCACCCGCCCCCGCTTGCCTGCAGGGCCACTCACCACTTCCAGGGCCCGCCGCAGATCGCTCAGGCAGCCCAGCAGCGCCATGGTGGCCACGCCCTCTGCCCGCACCCCACAGCATCAACTGTGCACGATGGGGCGTGAAGGCAGAGTCTTGTCTACACTGCCTGGCTGCCATGTCCTTGGCTGTGCTGCTCCGTGTAGGCCACGCTCAGGGGTGACTCTCCTCTCCTCAACAGGAGGCTGCTGGTGAGGGGGTCGCAGGGGGAGGCAAGACTGGGACAACGGCACTTGTGCCCAAAGAGAGGGCTCCGAGTGCCACCTCTGGCACCCGTGACATAGGTTCGTCGCCACCATTTTAGACAAATAGTTGTCCAATCTCTTCTTAAAGAGCACTCACAACTTCTGCAGGCAGGTCATTCCACAGATGGATTGTTCTCAGTGTCGGGAAATTTCTCCTTAGTGCTCGGTTGGCTCTGTCCTTGATTACATCCATTGTCCTGCCTTCAGGAGCTTTGGAGAATAGCTTGACCCCCTCTTCTTTCTGCTAAACTTAGTTTAAGGCAGTGGTCCTCAAACCCTTCAGCTCATCGACCCCTTCATGAAGTTTATGATCATTTATCAATCCCCAAACATTTATTATATGAAAATAATGAATACAGCTTTAATTAGTAGTGCTACAAATAATAATAATAATAATAGTAGCTACGGCAGCAATTCTCTGGATAATTCCATCAATCCTTGGAGGTGAATGCTGACCACTTTGGAACCTTGGTTTAGGGCAGGGATTTCCAACTTGTTAACTTTAAGACCTGAGGGGCTTAGAGTAGAATTCCTCAGCCAGCCACGTTGCTGCAAGAATTCTGGGAGTTGAAGTTCACAGGTCGTAAAGGGGCCATATTTGCCCACTCCTGGGCTAGTGGTACAGGGAAGCCTTGCTAATGCTTGCCTGGTGCAAGGGTTCATGGGATACCAGATGTTCCTGGAGAAAGAAGGTGGGGACTTTGTCATCCTAAAGTGGGTGCTGGAGACAAAGAGAAGCTGAGAAATACTAACTGGGCAATTCTGTGAGTTGAAGTCTATGAGTCTTAAAAGTTGCCAAGGTTGGTCACCTCTGTTTTAGGAGTTTTAAGATCCAGATGGTCACTGGTATTTCCTTCAAGCAAACTGAGCCAAACAGTATGAGACAACAATGTAGTCTTGTGATATAAACTGGTTCTTTAAACTAAGGGTCTCCAACCTTGGCAACTTTTAAGATTTGTGGACTTCAACTCCCAGAATTCCTCAGCGAACTATGCTGGCTGAGGACTTCTGGGATTTGAAGTCCAGAAGTCTTAAAGTTGGAGACTCCTGCTTTAAATCAGGCATGTATGATAAGACTTGTAATGATAGATAATGTAACTTTAAAGCAGTGCTTGTCAACCTCAAAAACTTTAAGATAACCCAGCAAGAGGGAATTATGGGAGTTGGAGTCCACCCATCTTAAATTCGTTGAGGTTGAACAAACACTGATCTAAACAATGGGAATTCCCAATGGGGTATCTTTCAACTTCTGATCTGCTTTCCCAACTACTACACCAATTGATCAGGATTCACACCGACAACAATCTTGAGGCATGTGAAAAGCAAAGAAAAGAAAAAGATTGCTTGCATCGCAATTCGGCAAGAGAAGCTTGTGTGCAAAGGCCTGGTTTTCTGTGTGTTTGCATTTGTAAGAGGATGCCTGTTACACACATACATTCCACGGCCCTTTTGTGTTTCCTGGATCAGGAGACTCTTTGTCATATTGGTTTTTAAAAAAAAAAAAAAAAAAAACCCTTATACTGCCCACTTTTTGTGACATGATTAGGAGGTTTTCAATTTGCAAAAATTGGCAATGAAATTGAACCCGGTGTTCATTACAGGGCCTATTTCTGCCCTTACAGAAGGGAGACAGTATTCAGACACAACGGATAGATTCAGGTAGAACAGACTTTAGCACTTTCTAGCTAGATTTGCATTACAATCCCTACCTTTCTCTTTCTTTCCTTAAACACACCGAACAGCTCCAAAAAACATCTGGGGATTAGATACCACGCTACAGGTGATCCTCTACCTCAGGGGTCTTCAAACTTGACCCTTTTATGACTTGTGGACTTCAACTTCCAGAATTCCTCAGCCAGGCACGTGCGCCTGGCTGAGGAATTCTGGGAGTTGAAGTCCACAAGTCATAAAAGGGCCAAGTTTGAAGACCCCTGCTCTACTTACAACTATGTGTTTAGCAGCCATTCAAAGTTACAACAGTACTGAAAAATGTGACTTCCGACCAGGCCTCACACTTACGACCATTGCAAACATCCCCACATCACATGGTCAAAATTTGGATGCTAGGCAACCTGCATATATATTTATAATAGTTGTAGCCTCCTGGAATCACTTAAAGTCAATAAGAGAAGACGGATTAACTTAACAACTGCATGATTCCCTTAACAAGTGCAGTGATTCACTTAACAACCATGGGAAAAAATGGTAAAATCGGGGCAGGACTCGCGTAACAACCACTCTGCTTATCAATGGAACTTCCAGTCCCAATTATGCTCACAAGCTGAGAACTACCTGTATTTAAAATCCTCTTCTATACTGCGAGTGTTAGTCCCAGAGCTGCTAAATTCTGCTGCTAAAACTCTTTCTGCAAATGTTATTTTCAGGGGCTTTCTGTGGGAAAGGAGGATTTAAAAAAAAAGAAAGACCAAGATGGCGGCCATGGCCCCCTGATCAAAGCCCCACCCCCTTTTTAGACATATCCCATATAAAAGGGGCGGAGCTTTGGTTGCATCCTCTGGATGGCCACCCTCTTGACTTAGTTATCTCTTCTCTGCAGATGCCCTTGATTACGTGGCCCGGGATTTGTAATTTTTAA